TCACTCGTACCCTTCACGCAACCACAACGCTGATATCAGCGTGACACAGTGTGACAAGGCTGCAACATTGCAGATGCAGATACAGTCCATCCGAGGACATAGTTTCCTCTACCAAATTTCCCTCACATGGCTTTGGTCAACCGGGCTAGGTTTACAGACACATTGCCAAATGTGCCACGAGCCGGATTGAACCCGCGCCGTCTGGCTTACAGCTCACGCAATTAACCATTCAGCCACCCGCCCCGTCCCTGTTTCAACGCTATAGGGGTTTCAGCTCGCATAAAACAAACCTTACTAAAGAAATACATTTTCGTATCTTTACTTTAGAGGATTACAGTAAGTTCTGGGTGATAATTAGGTTATGAAACGTTCCTCAAGTACTGTAAACACGATAAAGCAAAACTCTGCAGTTATACGAGGGTCGGGAGATAAGGGGAGAGTTAGAATTACTTCGAGGACGGGTAAACAATTTGTCTAATCGGGTAAAACGCATGGTTCAGAGAGTAAAAGTAACCTGAACTCCCAGAAAATCTGTGGATACATAGTTACCTTGTCTGGTAGCACAGTTTTTATCACCTTCAAAGCTACTCGGAGGCTAAATTGAAAACAAATAATGCAATAAATCAAATGGATAGAAAACACATATGGTTCATTTAGAAAGCATAAGACATGAAAAATTCGATTTTGTTTTGGTTATTGGGCGTAGCATTCCCCAAGTCTGAACTGCTCCGTTGAGCACTAAGAGCATGCGTGTTGAGATCCACGTTCATTGCACTACTATCTTTAGGCCTGAGCAATAAACCCTTCTCATCATACTTAGCTCCATAGTTAAAAAAGGGGAGGGGAACAAATACTCATGCATTTTTTTTGCAGTCAGTGTTAAGTTACTGCGAAATCAATTGTTTTATGTATATGTATGTACGAATACCCCCATACAAAAATGTAGCAAAATTTTGCTTGTTTAAGAAGGCGAAATAGAAATAGTTAAACAATACGCATATTTTATTGTACTTCTAGATTGTTAATATATAAAACCACACGCTTCCTAAGTTTCCTTAGAATGTCAACCACAGAGTTAAAAACGAAAAATTGAGACGACGAAGAGGATGCATAATGAAATTAAACACATAATGAATCCTATAGAGAAACACTCAGTGCGGGGAGAGGAAATGTATAGAAACCTTTACACAGGAACGGCAGTTTGTAGCTCAAATATATCGCACGTCAAAGTTAGATGAGTCTGAAATACCAAAAAGGTTGAATAAAATACTTATCGAATTACAATAACTTTAAATCTCTTATTCAGTGGAACAGGATCTCGAGGTATAATAAATGGTCCATCACTCTACAAACAAAAAAAGTCAATTCAATAATTTTCTCTTGACGAAAATAATTTTTCCGTGACTTCGCATCAACAGACAGGAATGACAATGCAGTTTCTGCAAATCTTTACACTAATACATGACAGGAGACTGGAAGCTATAATGACCATTGGCGTAACCATAGATTGGCGTAACCATAGATTGGCGTAACCATAGATGGGCGTAACTATAGATTGGCGTAACCAGTACGCAAGGTTGGTTGTGCTAGGTAAACTTGAGTAAATTAGCATCGCTTATTTCTTCAGAAACCTATTTCTTTAGTGCGCAATTAGGACCGAAATTGCGAGCTGGTGTTATACGCTAATTATTGTGAATTAACAAAATAAAGCATTTAAAGCCATCATCAAATTTCAAAACAGCCTGTTGATTATATTGCATAAAAACTTAAGACATACTTACGGCGTATGTGAGAGAGGCCTGATGCAATCGGGCAGCTTGCCTTTGAAGAGTCATTCTCAAAATGCTTCGTCTTTCAAGGCATGCATACTGCAACAAAACAAAACTCAATTATCAACAGTAATATTAGTTATACCTTAACTGGTGAGGTAACAGACCTTTACAACGGTCTGAGAAATCATGTGGTTGTTATTGGAGAAGTGTTGAATGATATCTGAGCACTAAAATGACTGTAATAAAGAAAGCCATATACTACAGATGCTTGACACAGTTGATGTCTACAAATGTATTTCATGTGACACGTTGCCCACTTTGCTATAAAATGGTTATTTGGACTGAAAAAGATCCCATAGTTTTGAGTAGACTTTCCTCAACATTAATAGTAAAAAATATGATAATCCTCCCCAGAATCCTTATATCTAAGTGTAATAATGAGGCTGTGTACTTTTATGATCTAAGAGCAATGCTTATTGGAGCATATGCTCCTACATCCAGGCCACTTTGGTAGAAAGGAAGAGGTTAGACAAATTTGGTCAGAAAGGGAAGGCTAAGATCTCTATCCAAAACTATAACATCACGAGAAGAACAAAACACTACAGTGCGAGAAAGAATGTAACGACATTATAATTAGACGGTCAAAGACCTGATATGGTTGTTGCTACTATGATAGAAGAAAGTGTTATTTTGATAAATATCGTGTGGCTCTTTGATAGTTACATGTTTGTTGGAAAAAAGAAAAACTCTGAAAATACAAAAATATATAAAACAGATTGGGAGAATGTCGAACTACATACAAGAAATTGTGAAACTAAAGAATTGAGGAAGAGTAAGGGAAGAAAATTGTTTGACCGACCAAAAAGTTTGAAAGACAAACAATATTTTAATGACGAAAGTTAGTACAGAAAACAGTGAAAAATGAAAAATTAGTAATAATATAAAAATGTACATCGGTCGGTAGAGTGTAAATGAATAGTAAAATACTAAATACAAAACACAGTTATTAAAATAAACTAAATAACGTATCGAAAAAACACATGTTTTCATACCTTTGCTTAAGTATCGCCACCTTCGTCTCCCATGTTTTGTTCACACGTTCTAATTCTTTCCGTAAACTTTAAGATATACGAGCTTGTTTAGTGAACGCATGCGCTGAGGGCAATATATGAAAGGGTCTCAAAAAGGCAACAGAACGATGGAGGCATTGGTTGGAGCAGCTTGCTTAGCTTGAATGAAAATATATTACAACAACTCATTCTTGATTATATTTTTACTTCAAAACAATTTGATTGTTAAAATTATCTTTGTGCTTCTCAAGTTCCTCCGATATTTTTTGTTGAGGAGGAACTCTAAGTTCCAAAAACAATTTCGAGCAAAATGATACAAAACGCAATACGTGAACCCCGCAGACCAAACGTGGAACCCACGCAGTACGAAATAAAAACCCATATTTGAGCGTACATTGCGCTGGCTAGCAACAGGCGAGTGTACAGAGTGTCTTGAAAAATCCAAAAATGATATCAGAATAAAGCTAGGCTGCCTTGTAGCGAAGCCATAAGCATATTTGGCAAAAATTCAAACAATATTTCGTAATTAAAATGAAACTTTTCACAAACCTTGCAATCTCTGCATTCAGTTTCACTTCAATATTTTGCAACTTTCTTATCGCTGAGTCTTTCTCCGAATCAGGAATCACATCCCTTTCCTTGAACGAAAGAAAAATGTACGCGAAATTGCATAACGATTGTAGATAACGTTCACTCGTGAGAAACATCAAGAACAGGGCGGTTGCACGAAGCCTGGATAGCGTTATCCATTGGATAGCAATATTTTCAAACTTGTAAAAAAGGTGTTGAAATTTTTCTTACGACGAAGAACTTTCGTAATCGTTGAAACATTGTTTTATTTCAGTGATTGTTCAGTTCGAATCTTATATTTTTGCTTTTAAAAGGTTTTATAAAAGTTTAAAGTGTCTATGAAACGAAAATTTTGCAAATTAAATTATGTTTGCAATGACCAGAACTTTCGAAATGACAGGGTACTTTCTAGAACAGTAAATTCATATCTCTTTTTATTCGAGTGATATTGACGTATTTTTATTTCCAATTTATCCAACTTGTTACGTCATTACATTATTGTAAATGTAGATCGTCCAGATTGGTATAGTTCTGAGAAGGACTGTTTTTGTTGTTGTTGACTGACGTTTCGACAACCTTAGCGGTAGTCATCTATAGAGTCAAATGACTCTACGATATTTCTTGTCTTCAAGTAAATGGTTTGAACTCTCTGAAGAGTCATTTGACTCTGAAGATGACTACCGCTAAGGTTGTCAAAACGTCAATCAACAACAAAACAGTCCTTCTCAGGACTATACCAACCTGGACGATCTACATTTACAAACATGTAACGAGACTCCCGGGTTCAAACCATTTACTTTGTTACGTCATATTGCATAATGAGTTCCACAATGTTTCAAATACTCTTTAGTTTCCTGACAATTTTAGATTGATACCAGTAGGCAACATTTTATACCATTAACCACGTCACGATGAAGGGGGACTCTGTCCTTGTGTAGTACAGTATTGGTAACTATACCTAGCAATTCTAGTGCCATTATGCAATGTGACGTCACATGTTAGATAAATCGGACAAACAAAAACATCAATATCTCAAGAATTAAAAGTGATATGTATAAACTGATTTAGAATGTCCATTGTCATTTTAAAGAATCTCTTCAATAAAAGAATTACTCAGACGCTATTGGCTTGCTGCTATTTTTTTGTTGAGTATCTCAAATTCAAATTTATTTTTTACGCGATTTGAGACGACGCATGAGAAATCACACAATTCGTTTATACTTCTAAACAAGAACATTGAGATAAAACAAATCACATTCTCAACTTTATTCTTCTTTGACGTGAAAGTGGCGCCATGATGAAAAATGTATATCACAATAACCTTTCCATTTAGCCTAGTTGTGCAGATACGGATACACTTGGAAAATATGTTTTGTTACAAACGGAAAAAATACATATATCTGAGTTAATAGTTAGCCTGCATGTTACAAATAAATCGGACTACGTATAAAGACGGGACCGCAGCGTGATGGTTAATAGCAAAGTCGAGTAGCTTTAGATAAAAAAAGATACAGCTATACAGTACATGTTGTTTGCAAAAGTTATGAAACTGCTTACCTTTTTTTTCAAAGCTTCCTCGAGTTCACGTCTATTTTCCAGCTCGCGTGCTCGATATTTCGAAATCTGCTTCGTCATAAGTTCTTCCATTTGCTTCTGTGAGGTAGCAACCATCTAGAACAGAATAAAATAAGTAAAAAATCTCGCAGCTTTCTTTCCAATATACCAACAAAGCCATGAATACAGTTTGCTAGTTGCCAGATATTCTCCGTATGCTATTGACTTCGTTATTGAGTAAGTCAAGAACAGTTGTTGATGTTGAGGCTAATGTCCAGTTTTACTATTTACATATGTACAATTTTTTACGCCAATAACTAATTTCAACAGATGAAGAAATAAACACTTTTATCAATAGAGTAGGATATTATATGGATTATAAAACGTAGCTACTTCATAAAGTGTTTCAACCATTATCATTTTGCAACAAATCAGTTTGTAAATTACCGTTGTCTATAAAGTATGGTGCCGAAACAAGTCTCAAAGAGTATTTTAAAAAATTGGAAAACACGAACTGTTCATGAAATTGTAACAAAATATTAAAAAATTATTAAATCCTGAAAAATTTATTCAAACAGTATACTGTTTGAATACTATCTATAGATACGTATGAAAAAAGCAAAACTTCGCCAGACGACATAAATATGAAAAGCTACAGAAAAACCTTACAAAATTTCTATAAACATTTCATAGAAGATCATTATGTGAAATTGAAACAATTTTACATAAAATTTTTCTTTCCCTGTGTGAGATTTTATGTGAAATTTTTCGGGAAGGCAAGGTGTGACATTGTTACATTATTATTTTTAAAATTCCTACGTCGTGCAGAGCACAGCTATAATTACAAAATAACGCAGTTAAAGCAGGAAAAATGACAAAAATAGAGTACTTACATCTTCTTGCACTTTTCGCAAACGGTTGTCGTAATTTTGTTGTAGGTAGAGTTTCTGTCTTTCAAGCTTTATACATAAAACATAATACATGTTCCAACTTGGTTATACTCTTGGATTGTCAAGCATGGATAGCCTCGCGAAGACAACATGCAGCTACTCACAACAAAACCATAGCCATAAAAATATTTCAATTGTTTTTACCTGTTTTGTTGATTCCTTTTTCGCGTTCACATTCAGCTTTCGCATCAATGACTTCTTGTTTTAGCTGCAATAAAGTGTATAAAATGATAATCAACACAAATCGTATGAAGGTACGTAGCTAATATTTTTGTTTTGTTCTACAAGAATCCTTCCACAACACAAACCAGAGATCTAAAGATGCAACAAAGTTCAAAAAACTTCTAACTTTTTGACCAATGATTTAAGAACATCCCTGCGTGTTTCAAATAAGGATAATGTGCCTTTCTTATTTCATTTAATGTTGAAATCAACGATGATCGTGCATGCATGAATGTTGTGACTATCATAAAAGCTGGGTTGCTCAATAATAATGGAATGAGCAAAAGTTGTCAAAAGAAAGTCAAAATATATGTTACAGCAGCTGAAATTCAAAATTTTGACAAAGGTATTAGGCATGGACTTCCCAAAGGATATCTTACCAATAACAATTATGATCACTTACACGGTCTGTGATTGCTTGTTCTTGATTCAATTTATCTGAAAGGCTACGAACTTCTCGCGCTAAAAAGTAAAAATATCATGAAAAACTGGAACCGGCGCAATGAATAAATTTTTAAATGTAATTACGTAAACCACATCGATTACATGTCAATCGTCGAAGATCTAAAGACTTGAAAGCAACATGACTAATAAGTTGATTCAAAACACTGTTTCATTTCTATGAAAGACAATGTGATAAAATAGAAAGTCTCTTAGATAGATTTTGTATTTCGGTAATGAATTTGCCAAAAGTATTCCAATTATTTTTCATCACGCTTATGGACAAATGTTTGCCATTTTGAATTTTTGTATTGCAATGCAAAGATGATTTATACATGGCATACAAAGTGGTTTATACGTTTGGTAATTCAAGCATCAAGCATTATCGTCTTTACTAAAAAAGATTCTTTGAAAAAACACACACACAATAAAGCCATTTTTGAAGAGAGTCGAGAAAATTCAATCATATTCACATCTAATAAAACGTTTAATAAATAAAGACGACATAAAAAGAACCACCCCACCCCCTCTCTCTATAGGTAGTTGATTATAAATGCTAAATTTATGAGCCCCAATCAGCCTTTAAAATGGCAATTGCGATTGCCCTGTTTGGATACAATCATGTGAGCATATTTCAAACTGCTTTACAAGATGTGGATTACAAACAAATAATGTTGCTACATACATAGTGAGTGAAATTTTACTACTATTCAATGCTAATTTATAAACTGGGTATTTCTTGACCTCCTTCTTCACATGGCAGTTAGCTAATTACTATATCTTATTAGTGCTGTCCCGAAATATCCAGGATTCATTTATTTAGAATTTATAACAATATTTCTAGAGGGAAATTTACTTTTGTGTGGTTTTATAACCAGTGAGTATGAGTGAACTTTAAGTAAGATTCAGGTCAACATAAAACGTGGATATAATCGAAAAGTTATAGTTTACTTTTAAGTAAGGGATCCAAAATACAGTCTTTACAATCGCTAATATTTTACAAAATGTGGTACGTGAGTGAAAATATGATATAAGATTATTAGTGCTCACGTGACACAATTTAAAGATATCTATTTCCAACATACTCATCTGTTTGTTCTCTTCTTCGTACTGTTTCAGAGCTGAATCCATATCCTCCAGTTTAGCTTCCAGTTCATCAATTTGTGACACAAGGTGCTTGCGTTCAGCGCTGCTGGATTCATCTTGCTGAGCCATGTATTGTTGGTTTAACGCATCTTCTAGCTCTCTATCAGCAATTTCTTGTTGTTCCTTTAATTGCATCTTCATCATCATGAGTAACGCTTCTTGTTGTTCGGCTGCCTTACCGCGCTGCTTTTCAACAAGTCGTCATTTTTCTTACAGTTCTCAAGTTTTTCGCGCTTCGCAATCTCCTTATTGATAAACCGCTATTTGTAAATTCGAAAAGACAAAGTGATTTGGAAGTAGAGGAAAAGCCATGCTTCCAGTTACGAGAATTTGTTATTGAAGAAAAATCCATTTCCATTGAACATTGCAAAGAACGAAAATTAAACAATGAAAAATTACTTGCTTTGGTAATATAAGCAACGATAACAATCGTATTCTCCATATGCACATGATATCAGCGTGAACAGATCGCATACACAAATACAGCAAATATTGTGTGTGAAGTGAATTCATAATTATGACTAAGATTACACGTCTGGAGGGCCGTCTTTGATAAATTTTGTCCTGTTTTGAGTGAACGCAAATTAAAATTTGACCGTATTTTATTCGTGGAATTGACTAGAATGCTCGCTACAAGACGCCTAAAAGGTGTCAAACAATCTGCACCCACAACTCTCAGAGTGTAGAAAACTGGCAATTCTGATTCGTTTTGTCTAATCCCAAAAGCAGTTGTGAGGTCTAGTTTTGCACAACATTTACTTTACCTTGCAGGAGACGCAAATAAAACTCCCATTATAGAGTCAAGTGACCATGTCACGTCGTAAATACTTTACCAAATCTTTCATGCTTACCTCATATTCATTGGATATTTGTGCAATAACGTCAGCTAACTGTTGCTTGAAGCATCTTCTGATTGTTTTTACGCGCTAAAGAGAGGAACAGATGTTTTCAGGGAAGACTCATTGAATAAAAGGGAGCTTCAATCGTCGACGGTTTAAAGCAAAGAATGAATTTAATAGGGACTAGGGGGGGCACCTCTCCTAGCCTTGGCTAGTAAGGGTGTAGGAGATGTGCCAATTTTCCTTCCACATTTTAAAATAGCCATAATATTAAGAAAGTATCAAACTTAAGGGAAAGTAAATCCCATAAAATATTTTCCAGTCTACATACATTGCATGGCTACACCTGCAAAATATCTAAACTAAAGTCCCCCCTGCGTAATCAGCCCGTAAAGTAGCCCCCCTTCGTAATCATCCTGGATTGCTCTGTACTAAAGGTTAGAAGAAAACGTGGATGAAATTCATGAAATTGACAGCAACTTTAAAACCATTTTATTTCCTACTCATTTTTCAAGTACAAAAGGCAATGCAATGAGAAAAGTCGAAAACCAGATCTTTACTGAGGGCTCAGTTGGAATCCTGATCAAGCCAAATTACACAATATCAAAATACAATAAAATCCAGGTCCGTGACAGGTAAAATCAATCTGCTTCTAATTGATCGTAAATGTACAAAAGTACGACGGTTCTAATAAACGAAAGTACGACGGTTTTGGTGCCTTGCAATTAGCTGGAATAGCAAGAATGAGCAGTATGTTTATCGGTATAGACAAATGAAAAATTATAGCAATATCCAGCAAATTCCGATACATCCCTACTTTTACCGATTATTTTTTACCATGCACAGACTAAATACGCACGCACTAATAATCCTCCTTCAAAAAAACAAAAAGTCACTAATATTGATATCCACTAAAACTCTGACTCACGGATGTCATTTCAATTACATTAACAGCACTGCTTGTTCATTACGCACGAAAATAAATTTAATATTTGCTCCAACATGCTGTCAACAAACAATACAATAACACACCCTCTCTTCACAATACATTTCTGACATCATTACGTTGTAAGAACTTCACGTTAGTAACATCTTTTGATTCGTAAACTACCTCTTCATGCATCCTCTCTAGGTCAAGAACTCTTTCATTCACGGCAATATCTTGACATAAAAAGATGAAAATACGAATGATTTAGTAAGCTGGAACAAATGCAATTACAACTCTGAAATAGAATACGAAATAATAAAATCTAGGTGTCGTAAACAGAATAACATTCGTATCGTCTGCATATTGTTCGTAATTATATTCATATTTTATTTATGCATGCCTTATGATATTTTTTGATTTCCTGCAATCTGATTGGCTGCAACAGCGAGCAGTTTTTACTATATCTTGACCGAGGTCCAAAAGTGATGTTTTTTTTGGCAATGTAATTGTACAAAGTGAAATTAAATTTTAAACTGATTTAAAAGCCATTTAAATTGTTGAAGAATTGGGCCAGAACACTAATTTAATGTTACAAAAATAACAATCCGAATTTTATGTTGCATGTGTCCTTTAACTCCAAAATACATTCTTCCGTGTCTAACCACCCACCTAACCTAGCTGGTACGCTTTTGGCGTCTCAAAATATTATATATTCGCCATTTTAAACAACGCTATACGTGGTAGTAGATTAGATGTACTGTATGTGCGACTTTTTTAAAGTGTAGCAAGAGGAAGACAAGCTAAGTCAACCTTAGATATCGACATTAAACTTTTGTCTCTTCCTATCATGTTGCGTTAAAGTTTTCAAGGGAGAAAGTCGCACCAGTGCCTTAAAGAGTAAAGGAAAATTAGCCCTTGAAAAGCTCAAAAATCCCGCTTTCACTCAGTATTTGAGCTACTGGACAGTAACTGGGAAAATGGAACAGAGGTGCTTAAACAAAGAGAAATCTTTACGTGTTTCATGTATGGACTCGTGGAAGTTTAGTAAACGTTGTCCACGCAAATCTTTTAAGCAACATGATAGAAAAAGACAAAAGTTTACCACAGTAGTTAATGTCCTTGAAAATAGTTCCGACGAGTGAAGACAATGAAAAGAAGGAAAAGGAAGAAAAAAAGGAAGAGAAAAATTTTGAGAATGGTTTTGACAGTGATGAAAAAAATTTCGTACAAGGATTTTAGCGAACTACAAAGAAATAAACTCTAAGAAGAAAAATATTATATATCAAAACGTACAATAAAATTATACTGTATCAAATAACCATTCAGCAACTATTGTGCAACATTTTCAACGATTGCATTCATAAAATTGTGTTTTTTTGCTCAAACACAGCATTATATTGTAGTTTAACGTGTCGTAGTAGGGATTTTAAACTTTGTGATAACTATCATTTTGGTGATAACAATTTATACCTTTTTTACGTAAATTAGCATAATAATGATACGTGGGCCACTTGTCCCAATAGTTAACATCAAAATCTTTTCTACACAAAATTTCCTTTCTAGAAAAGTATGTTAGAAAATGATTTCTAGGTGGTGCACGCTACCCCCTCTAATCGACTAGACTAAATGCTATGAATGGAAACAGGAATTTCGATACAACAAACTAACACAAGCTTTTTCAATTTTAATTAGAAACTAAAATCTCCAAAAATAAAGACAGCAATCAAATGACGAAATTAAATCGAATTAAAATTCATAATATCAAGTTCTACGGCATATTTGACGTCCTGGAGGCACTTTTCTTGAGTTACCTCAGACAAGTCGTGAATTTAGTGGCTTATTAAGGAAGTCCTTGTTTTCATTTTCATTTTAAGACCTCAGAAAATAAACTTTGCCTCGACAACACACAGTTATTTAGCTATCACATTGAAATAATTGTTCTTCATGCTTAAAATGGATTATTGACTAAGCACAAGCAACGTTTTATTCAAAAGATAACTCTTTCAATTTGAGTATCCAAACCACACGGCACAGACCGTGAATATTGCCGTGAAGCAAGCAAGATGGTGTGCATGAAATCTTAAAATTGGTACATTTTAAACACGCTAAGTTGCAGGATACTGCGTGATCGCTCCTCACAAAATCAACATGACACATGTAGTTAAATCTCAGGCTAAATATTGGAATCGTTTCTATGCTACATTTTCTAACAAACAGCACAATAAAATATTACTTCTGAAGGAAATATTATTTAATCATCGACGCAATATACGTTATTCTTCAAAATGGAGCAATTTAACCTGTTTGTTGAAACGCACTTCTAGAAAGGACTCTGTTATCACTCTCTGTTTATTTCTTAAACGATATTCAAAAGAGTTACATTTTGGGAGAAGTTTACAGGCATGTTTGAAAGTTTTGTTCATTTCAAAAGTGATTGTAAAATAAAAGCAATATTGCGCGAGCGCTGATTGGTCTATAGCGTTGTTGGCATACTCTCGAGTTGATATACCCAATTCTCATAGGTCTCCTCGGTTTGCATAAAGCCTGTGCAAACAGAGTAAACATCTTTATTTCTTAATTATACAAATAAAACTTAGATGTACATACAAATCAATACTCTTTTCTTCCAGCTTGTTCTTGTAGTCAGCTTCAAGCATATCTCGCCAAATACAAGTTCTTTTTCAAACCAGACAAGTCCTGAAGTGTATTTGGAAAATATAAAGAAATCACAAGTAAACTATGTACAGTTATGCATAAAAAGTAGCTGGTAATAAGCAGCCAAAAAATGCTCAAAGCGCCAACGCCATGAGCCCGGCAGAAAGGACGAATAGAGGAAGCTGCTCACAGCATGGTTAAATTTGAAGGTATTTCAACGAACGTAAATTATGTTTAGGTTTACGTACATAAAGGCAAACATTTTAACAGTTAAAGGTACAGCCTATTTGATTTTGCAAGTTTTGATTTGGATTAACATTCCTATAAAGGCACGATGAAGGTTGGATTCTCAGGTTAGCAGTCCGATTGTTACGTGAGGAACGGAGTCGTATAGATTATACGTAAATAATAATTTTGTTTTATTCGATTTCTTTGCCGGGTCCTCACGATCTAGCTACATTAAATGTATTCCAGGTTATCAGACATAATAAAGATACTTTAAGCGTTAGCATTCGCTCAGGTTAGCATGCGGTAACTGTGAGCTGTACTTACGGACTAAAATCCTTTGTGTCCAAAATGAATATCACGCGTCAAATTACGCGTCAATCAATAAATCATGCATAAATTAATCACCTATACTAAATAATTATCTGTGCAATTTGTCAACGATCCAAATGTCTTCAAAATGTTTTAAAAAGCAGGAAATTTGGAAAAATTTATATGAATTTCAATTGCACACAAAACAAAATGTTGAAATTTAATTATGTACAATTAACAAATACAGACAAAATTTTTGAAATCAAATGTTGCAATCTACATTATCTTGAATGCTGTCTGTCACTTCATTATCGATCAAACTGAACTTTTTTATGCTCTTAAAATACAAAATTCCCTTTTGGAGGGTAATAGGGGAGCAACCTTTACAAAATAACAAATTTTATTGGAGATGTTATAATTTGCATATATAATATTCATATATTCAGCTTTGCCTGACTGATTTCTTTTGCAAGCAATGTCAATTTGAGAAGAAATTAGTTGGTTACAGCTGAATATATGATTATTCACCCCCCTTCCACCCCCATTAATGTTCTCATGTCACCCCTGACTAGATGAAGATCATAAAAATGACGGAATACAATGAAATAAATACATAGATCACCTGAACAAGTAGTTGCACCATCCTTGTCACCTCCTTCAAGTTGAGTAACTCTGAGTTTTCAGTTTGTGATGCACAGTCTTTGGAAAAACCCTGACCAAATCTTGTCAGAAATTGAAGGACTACAGAAAACAATAATTTATTTTGATTAGAATGCCATGTAATATGAGTCCCAAAGATATGATTTTGCCATGTTTTCAAAACATACACATTTAATACAATGAAATAAATTGTCAATTTACTAATCTACAAAAGAATAAAGATGAATTTGACAGAACTTTGAATGATTCAGATGGAAAAAATTTTTAAAACAAACATGCTTGAACTTAACCAGTGTGGTAGCCAGCCCAAAAGTTTGGTTGTGCTATGTAAATTTTTCCGTAGTCACTCACAGTAAAAACAATAGATTTCGAAAGAAATGAATCATGATAATGATCTGAAATTTACATAGCACCAAATTTGTGGGTTGGCTATGCCACTGAACTTAACTAAAAGCCATCTTCAATGTGAATGAAATGAATACATTAGTTACACTGTGAGATATATACGTACCTAAGTAGAAATATTATCTAAACGAGGAATACTCCAATGGGCAGATTAATTATTTAATACATTGTAACTAATGTATTCATTTACACTGAATATGAAATGCTGGAAACTGTTCGTATAAAAAATTGTCATCTACTTAGTTAATCTTATCATTATCTTATTATATCAACATATCTTATCATATTCAAATGTTCAGTTAATCTTACGTACATCATATTTTATTAATTTTAATGACAAATTATAAAGAAGTTTCAATACATATACTAAGAAAAAAGCTATGCTAAAGAGTACATCATTCACTCGGCCTTTGGAAAAGGAACTTCATCGTCAAATTTTGCTACCCTGAAGTTTGCAATGCAATAATTTCATTTGGTTGAGTTGGTTCCTCTGAGCAAGAAATTTCTGCTAATTTCATAATTTCAAAATCCTCTGCATACTTACATGTATTCATCTGAAATCGGTGATATGAGTGCCGTTATTTTACTTGAGGCAATGTCATAATCCATAATATCAAGATTATCTGTTTTCAAGTCTGCCATTTCGAGAAAAATCACAATACACATTATGAACGATCGAAATGACGTCATGGTGTGGTTGTTGCCTAGCAACTAACAACGCGCGGAAAGAAAGGCTTACACCAGCCCGAAGAATTGGAGAAGATAGTGGCATGAAAAATTATTTATAGTTTATACTCCAAACCAATGATTGAAACACCTTTCTGATGGCCTCGATATACAAATATTTGCTGTGAGTCAAAATATGTATGCGATATAAAGCGTGCTTTCAAAGCGTTCCAGTGGATGTTAGCACGAATGTTCAGTTATTTGCACCAGGAACGTATTTGCAATTAACTGCAGCGTAATATCCAGTTTGTCATTTGTCTTAAGTCTTAACAAAGCGAGTGCAAAGTTCCACAAATTAAAAAACAATTTCGTCGTTTTTCATTTCATGCGAACAAAGGTGTAATAAACGAGTGGTGGTTGAGAATATTTTGGTCTTGTCAAATGAGCGTGAACAAGGGTTGTGGCTCATCAAAAACTGAAAGTCTCATTATTTCAAGTGTATTTAGATCAATGAAAGCGGTGGGAGACTTTTTAACTTTCCGGTACGTGCTGAATTCAAGCGTAATCAAGATTAAATAAGCATAAATTTTAAATTTCAATGACGATCATATTATATTATATATAACATATTATGTATGACGATCATATTATATATAACATTTATTATAGTTCAAAGACAGATTTGGTATTATCAAACTGCTGCCATACAAACAACAACTCTTTGGAAGTAACCCTACCCTGACCCTATCACGAGGCTTGCATCCCGAGTTTTTTACACTTAACTACCTGTCAAAGATCAGTCTGTGAGCAGAAGTATCTTATCTTACATTTCAATACTGTGAATAAAACAAAGCGGTTCATTAAAGTACAGACAAAATCAAACACGTGGGTTACAATTCAGAAGCTGTTTATCTGGATTGCTTCGGCACAATCTTATGATTGTATATAATCTTGATGATGGATGACGATTTAGTTCTTTCAAGTTTACAAGACAACTGAATGAAAAAAAGTTAGTTAACGCTTATAACGATAAGCATTGACGATAACAAAAAATAAATATGATAAATGTTTTTAACGTAAACTTTTACACAATAAGCATTATTTATACAATAAGCATATTTCAATTTGCTACAATTAATCAATGGATGTCCAAGTTGAAGGAAACAACATAATTGGCTACTACCATGAACAGAGAATTCAATGAAATACTGATTAACCGCACTTCACTCTTTTTACGCGATACCTAATTTCTGTTTTGTTGCCAATCACAGGCTCTCCGATTTTCCACTTCCAAATAGGGTGAGCAGATGGTGGTTTCTTTCCAGGTCGACAAATCATGCTGTATGCCGGACTCAGTTCACCATCACGGATGGTTAGATATGGTGGAAGCTGGAAGTTTGATATGAATCTAAAATTGGTATTTACCTTCCAAACAGGTTTTACTGGCATCAGTTTAATCTCGTAAGATTGAGGATTTGATGGACTATTTTTATTGCTACCGGTTTTGGTTGATGGCGATAAGGAGTCGATAAGATATTTCTCATTCAGATCTTTTAAATCCATTTTCATTATTTGATCTTTTGTAATTGTTTTAGGCCGTAGATTATTTTCACACGATTTTCCTATTAACTTTTGGTTCTTAGTTTTCTTTGCTTTTTTCTTTATTTCATTTTTTGTTCGTGTCTCTTTCCTAGTTTGCTTTATCTTCTGATCAGGCTTGTGGGTTTTGAGCCTATCATAATTTTTCTTTACTTGCTCAATAGCTTTAAACGTTTTTTGCTTGGTCACTTTTGTCAAGGAACCTAGCTTTTTAGAAAAAACCGCTTTGCTATCGAGCGATGGGGAACTTGAGCAACTATGATAATCAGAACGTGTGACATTCGCACAACGGCGTTTAGCAGAATTCCATCCTTCATTGTTCATGTCTTGACGTTCATTTTTATTTTTATTTTTATTTTCAAGCGACCTTGCAATCAACTTTCTCTTTTTCGGCAAACCAGCCCTCCCCTCATGAATTTCATTGTTTTGCGCTTTAATGAACACGTGCGTTTGTTTACCAATTCCTTTATTCATTTCATTGTGCGTTTTGTCGTTCTGAATCGTAAACGTGCTATACCTGTTATTTGTGACATGTGCACGAGAGCTGCTTTTACGGCGAGTTTTCGAGCTTTGTTTACCTCTTTCTTCCTTGGCAATAAACTCACTTACTTCACTCCGCGATTGGCTCATGTCCGAATCAACAGCGACCGACTTGTTTAATTTAAATTTCTTGTGTTTAAGCATACTGTCTTTGACTGAACCGACTATATTTTATTTTGTTTCTGTTTGCCCGAAATTCGTCGTTTGTTTTCCAGTGCGAATCCAATCTTATATACACTAGTAAACATATCAAGATCGAGCTTGGAAATGAGCGTACAATGAATTCCATATTTTGCAATACCTTGAACTGAAAGCACCTTTTCTATTTCGCTTGGCGTGCATGTGTACCAGCGAATTTTCATTCTTTTCACCCGATCATTTAACGTTGTTCGACGCCATTTAGGATATAAATTTCGCCAGACTTCGCTCATTGTGAACATTAAATCACCATTAATGTAAATATAAGCCATATCGGTTCCGTGGTACAAAATTCTACCGCATTCATCTTTTGGATTTCTCTTGTTGTCCATTGTTACTACTAACAACAGTATCAGACTTCAGGCCTAAATACAAAAACCCCGATTACTTTGCCTTACAAAATATTCAAGACGATGCGAAACGTCGTGTCACTATTGGCCTTCTGAAGAGCTGAGTTTAAAATGTACAAAACAACTTGCCAGTGTCAAGCTTCTCCTTTTTGCCATAGGAGAACAACAATCACAGAATATTGCATTGCATAAAGTACAAAAACATTATCTGTTTTGTTATCTTTGAGAGTGAGTCATTGTATATTGTAATGAACATGTCACACTTTGTCTTTGTTGTCATCATGCGGGAAAGATATTAGTAAGCTATTATCATTCGTGCACGAGGGATGAGTGGGCAATTGTGTAACTGAAAAACACCAATTGCCAATAATGCTGACGCTGTGGTTCAATATAAATAAAAGACTTTCAAAAACTTGGAGCACCCTAACTAGACTATCGATTATCAAAGTCTGATAAAACAGTCACAACAATGTGAACACACTTCTAAACTCATAGTTAATACCAAGTGATGTAACATCTTAATTTTCGTGTGTTTGTTAAATTTTTTCATGTTTGTACACAACATTGTAAACAACACTTCAGACATGTGACAAAAATTTGGGGTAGTGAAGACAATTTGTTGATTTAAAGAAAGCATAGTTTATGTTTAAACCACAAAAAATTGCTATTTCGACTTTCTCTGTCATATATTGAACGAGATTTTGAAATGCAAGTGCTTTGTAGATTTGTGTATACGACAAAACTGTAGTTATGGACTGATATTGTAACAAGGTTTTAAAAATAGGCTGTAAGAGATATCGATACAACATATACATCCTTATATCAAATATCATAATATCAGTCCACTCAAAACAATCGTGCATCATCCTTGCCATGTACAAAACGTACTACGTTCAAGCTACATTTATGTCATTACCTTTACAAAATTGTCATCCACGTACAGTAAAACAATTTTGACGAGCCGGAGAGCATATACCATTTGCTTTAAAATTTATGAATTTAACGTGTCGCTACATATACCATTTACTCCCCAGCATACTGTCGGAATCACAGTAATCACATACAAACACACAGATTACGTTTTCCATTACCGAAGTCACGTGCTTATTTATAGACAGCTGACATTGGCACGAGGAAATGACTGGTAGTTTAATTTCACACCAATGACACCATCGCCAATTAAAGTTGAAGGCCACAGAACGATGTGAAGAGTTGTAGTAAATAACCATATATAGTATTCTACCACCCATACAAATCAAGTGCAAAGCCTTTTTGGCTGACAAAATATCTATTTGTCAGCCAAAAATATCATTTATCGCATAAATATCATTTAGAAACGTTTCACAAATTTTTGCGCAATGAATCATATACAATTGATTCAAATTCCAATCCACCGCTGAACTGCGTGTAACCATGGACTTTTGCCAACGTAAACTATGAGTCTTGGACCTTCTCCATCGTTGCAATAATTACCACAGTGAACTTCTTTCTTCCTACAATAGATGTTTTCTTGCGTAAACTTGGACCTTCTCCTACTTAATTAAGCTAGTACCTTTTCTGCTTAAACTTACCTAGCCAAGTAAGTATACCTAAAAGTACCGTACCTAAAAGTGTCTTTTCTTTAAAAATGAACAGATCTCTTTTGTGTTAACGTGAGTCACTTCTTTGTCAAAGTACATTGTACATTTTCCTGTGTAAACTTTAGACCTTTACCAGTAAACTTGAACGTTCATTACCTATGTGAAGAACTTAACCATTAACAAAGTGCATTTTCACTTATAATAGTTTTGATCATTTACTTTCTGTTTTTACACCGACAATCCAACATTCTTAAAATCAATGATATGTTCATCATTGTCTTCATCTTATGTGTTAAAATAAACATCTTAAATACGATATGAAAAAACACGCAAGACCGAAGAAGCATGTTTTATTCATATAGTAGTTGTACAGGGGTCAGCAGAATCTTTTAAAAAATAGAAAACAAGAAACAATGTGAAATTTCCTTGAAATGAAGCCATGTAACATATTCTAACAGTTAACAAAAAAATTCTTCATGAAAGGCATAGATTCGTGTAGTGACTTTGGGATATGAATTATATAAATAACAATTGCTTTTGACGTTTCTCCTCGTTAATTTGAAAAAAATTGTAATAATCTAGTTAATATTCCTTTGCCATTCAGGTGGCTAATCCAATGTACGCAGAATAATTGATAAAATTTTATTCTCTAGCAATTTACCACCATTTTCAGGGTTAAGGTATTTTTAATTCAAATTAGGAACTATATTTTATTTTGCCAAATAGTTTAAGTTGTTCGCCAACTAAGACCTTCATGAGATCATTAGCAATGCTTTATGGAGGAATATTATGCCTACCACTTATATATAGAAAGGTTCATTGTACAGTTTCAGTAGGTTCTTTGAGATCGAAGGATTAGCTAGCATCCTGGGGCATACAAGACAAGTTTTGCATGTTTCTAGGATATCGTAGGAATTCAGGGAATTAGACATCTGAAATAAAGGAACCACGAAGACCAAGGAAGCATAAAAAACAGAAAGTATTAAATTGTTCAAAGTCAAATACGTGATGTAAACCGAACGGATTCTGTTCCTTAGATTTCAATGTCATTCGCCATCTCTTATATACAAAAAGACTCTGGCGTAACAGCTTTAAGCTCTGGGTAGGAAGAGCCACGGGCACCCACAGAAAGTCAAGGGAGCACCCTAAACGGTGTTATTTATACAAATAAAGATAAAATTAGGTTTATATATGAGCAAGTTAAAGCACTGGAAACTTTATATTTAAAGTCATTCATGAATTCATGTTCCGGAAAGTAAATTTAAGCTCTACTTTGTATTTTTTGCATATAAACTAAAAACAGGAAAGATTGTATCTTAATAATAATTATTAGGAAAATGTTTATGTTGTCAGAGTTGAGGGAGGGAGCATCCCATCTGGGAGGGCCCTGGGCAGCCTGGTTCGAACTTACGCCACTACAAAAGGAGAGTACATCGAAGCATAGGAAAGTGCTTTGCACACAAAAAAAAAAACTGGTTGGTGCCTATTTCTGTATTTAAGATTTTTTATAATGAACTTATAATGGTTGAGACATTTTCTTTTTATGATGAAGATAAAATAGTTATGCTTGGCTGCAACAAATTCTGCTGCAATTCAAAGTTTATCTTTCGACGCTCTATTTGTCTTTCAATGTATAACTATGAAAAAGGATGACCGATTTGGAAAATAGTACGGAAAACTTTTATTCTCCAGTTTTATTAGCACGGTCAGACGTCAAAGCTGGGCACCTATAGTACGACATGGTGAAGAAAATTATAAGCGGCCCTCTATACGAGAGCTAGGCTTTAGTTAAGCAAAGTGAAATGAACAGTTCTGCTCTTGCAAAAGAGACGTACATAAAAAGTTTGAGATCTTAACAAGCCCACACAAAAAAAGAGGAAGCATGTGGCATTTTGACCTGGGGACTCGATAGGCACCCCCTAATTAGAGAGAAAACTACATTTTACAGAAAATCATTATTATTTTGTCTTTCAATACACTTTGATATTTTGCCATTGAAGTTTGCTCATCAAAATTTACATACCTTTAAAGTTCTTCGTGTCATAAACTGGAGAAAAGTTTTTCCCTGGGTCCAAAAGTTTTTAAGGGGCTCAGGAAATTAATGATCACTATTACTATTTGTAAGAATTGAAGCATATGCTAGCAATGTGCATGAAAATTTTGTTTTCAAAATAAAAAATGAAAATATGAACTTTCCGAGAATAGTAGGAGAATCCGAAAATAGTGACTATGGTATCATGTAAATGTATGAGTTTTTATACATGAGCTTACATGACGTATAGCATCACTAGTTATACAAAGTAAAAGAAGAGAATGGAAGCCAAAAGTTGTGAATTGAAACACTAGAAACAAACGTGCATGATTTTTCAACATTACTTAAAGTGTGATCTTTAAAACGAAAAGAGGTGAGAAAACGTTTTTGTTTTCTTAAATTAGCGAATTCGTCAAGTACTGAATCATTTAACCAAGGTACTGCTGTGCAGGTTTTTAGACAAATTTGTAAAATTAAGGTAATTTAAGTCAATGTGAGTAATAAATGTTCGCCGGAAAGACTCTAAGTTTTTGAATTATACTGTGCTCTGTATTCAAGCAGGAAATATGAACTTGAAATTTTGTGGTTTGTCATATGCCTATTGTCAGTCATTAAATTCACATTAGCAGTTAGCACTAGCAGTTAGCTCAAATTTTTGCTTGTAGCTTGTACATTAAAAACTTACCAATCTGGCTTATATCGCAGTCTTGCTATTAAGAAATTTACATAAAGCAGAAAATATATGGAAGCAGAACCAGTGGGACTGGGGGGCAACATCACCTGGAATAATTTTTCCTCCATTTTGAATTTTTGAAGTTTGTTCCTGGATCTCTTGCTTGCAAAAAACCACCTCGACTGCAGCAGTGTATAGCCCCCTCAAATAAAAAATTCCTCTACAGTGTCTAAAGTAGTACCATTAATTTAAAGAAAAGAAAGATTCTCTTTAGTCAACATCTGCAGACAAAAAAATATGTACTTCCAGTGTCAATGCTTTCAAAATTTCTGACTGAATTCAAGTGAGTTAAATTGTACTAAAGTGATATACTTTGTGTTTCACTGTAGCTAAATTTCATGCAAAAATGCAAGCCTCCAATTCCTTAAGAAGATTTGCTTATCAGGTAAGACACACGCATTTGCTATATCACTGAATGATTCACACTTTCCAGTTGCATATAATCTTGTTATGTCTAATGATTTAATAGCTATGAATGAGTTATTCCAGTTACATATGAAGAACTGCATCTTTTCAATCATTTATAAATTTCCTATGATAAAATTGTTTTTGTTTTATCCTAATAGACCTTAATATCTCATCAATTTAGACTCCTGCTCTACATTTTTACATCAATCGTAGGTAGGTATCATTTTTTCAATCAATTTTGTTCTGACTTATCTTTTGTGGTTCTGGCCATCCAAACACAGAAATTCAATGTGACATCCAAGGACAAAATGCCTTGAAATGAAAGTCATGTAATAATTGTGTGGACTTTAATTGTTGCTCAGGCTATGTTGTAAAGTTTTGGAACTAGTTCCGAGTTTAGTTACATCATAGATTCTGGCATAGGCGGAGAACTCACAAATTATATTTCCAGGACTATAAACTATATTGTACATGTGAAAAATAAGAAAATATAATATGTAGCTAAGAGACAACTCCTTTTGGTGCTGGGTTTTTTGCTAAAAATTGGTCATTACCAGTAAAAGTTACTTTTAGAAGGTTAAGAATTTTCATAGAATACGGTGATCAAAGAATTTTCGAAACTATGGTCTTTTATCGAAGATCGATGTGAAGAAAAAAAATGAGCCAGCCCAATAAGATAGTCTCTCACATGCGGTAATGGTGCGTATTTGATTTAGAGCTGTACGGTTCCCACTTCGCAAATTTTATCTGAGAAAACCTCGGTTTGGCCTTGTTCCGGTTCTTTTTTAAAAAAGGAAGAACAATACAAATGTACTCAGTAACTCAATAGTAAGTTAACAATACAACGAGGTGCCGTAAATTTTCACACTTAGGGTAAGCTAACGATGCTTGTGTAGTATGTGTTCTTGGTTTTTTAAGATCTTTGGTGATACCATGTCTTGCGCTTTGTATAGTTTTAATGAAACTTTACGCTTTTGTAATGAGTGGCAATAATTCATTCGGTTATACGTACATTTAGATGTAATTTTGTACACTTACCGAAGGGAGTCTGATAATTCTTTCTGTTAGTTTTTTTTTTACATTAATTGCGTTTGTATTATTTTCTTCGATGATTGCTGAATCTGCGTTTACATTATAGAACCCTCTATGTTAAATGCTTCCTCCTTACGAAAATCGCGAAATTTCAATTGCATACTATAGCCTGCTTTGGTTTTTATCAAAAATATTTTTGTGTGCCATGAAGTATATGTGTGAAAACATTTTATGGTTGATTCAAATTGCGGCAGTGATAGGAAGTGGTTTTTTTAAACTTTGCACTAATTTGGATCTTTAGTTCTTAACTGTAAAGAAAAACATAGGTAAGCTACGTTTACACTTGTTTTACTTTTACCTAGTTGTTCAATTTCAGTAAAGAGAATTAATATACTTGTAGTTGTTCAACTTCAGTAAAGAGAATTAATATACTTGTAGTTGTTCAACTTCAATAACAAGAATCAAAAAGAGTATGTATCCTCGTGTTTATAAAGTACGTCTGCAGCAGCCAGATGGATCTACTTACACGATCCGCTACCACGAGCCACGTAAACTAATTCGTCTTCCTGTAGACCCGAGCAGTCTGACTGAGGAAGAGAAAAAAGCTAGGATGAATCGCTTAAAACCGGAGAAGAAAATTGAAACACATGAATTTGATGAAGACGAAGCAGAGATTACTCAAAGATCTTGGAAACATTTTGTTACGAGATAACCATTATCGATTTTCTTTACTATTTGTTGTTAACACAACATAATATTTATTTACTGAAAATATATTTCCTGGTCGATATCGCAATATCACTGTCATGTGACGCATTTTCAAGAAATGGAACACTAGAAATAAGAAAGTTTGACGATTGGGTAAAAAAAGATTTGTGTTTGTGTTGTTTGGTGAAATTCAGAATTCCTGGATTGTTAAATGAAAACAAAAAATTTATGGATCACCGAAACAAGTTTGCGAGACAAATAAGAAAAATCTCTGAAAATTTGCAAAACATTCAAAGAGAGAACTAAACGTGAGTTATCAATAGAATTAATGAGCCTAATAATAGTTTTGTTTGGATTTTTTAGTCAACACGGTATAGTTTGCAAGCTAGTTATAATCATTTATGTATTTATGTATGAGTAAGCTTGACCTTAAAGTATCTACTAGAGTATTGTACCAATACTTCTACAGAAGCATTTTGGCAATGCTCTGAAATAGAGCCCGCCTTGTAAAGGTTTAAAACTACTTCTATAATATGTTATGATTCGTTGTTTGCCAACAAGTTTATTTCCGTTCAAATTAGGATTATCCGATATGGTATTTCATGTTTATTTCTTTACTTTTCCGTCTTGAAAAGTATAACAGCATATGTTTTCAGGAAAAGTCACCCTTAGACAGTAGTAGATATCCAATACTTTGGATTGATTGGAGTTACTCTTAAAGGCAGGAATAACAGTATTACACTATGAATGTCACGCACGGGAAAACCCCCAAATTTGTCAAAAAACCTGAGCGAGCATGATTGGTAATAGGACCTATAAAGTAAATGGTTTGAACCCGGGAGTAACGCTACATGTTTGTAAATGTAGATCGTCCAGGTTAGTATAGTCCTGAGAAGGACTGTTTTTGTTGTTGTTGACTGACGTTTCGACAACCTTAGCGTAAGACTCTGAAGTACTCAGGACTTAATAGGACCTGTGGTAGCCATATTGACTTCTCAAACTTACTCATGAGAAAGTACCAAAAGGTTAAACTTATGATTCTGACCACTTTCTCTCAAGAAAGTTTGTTAAAGTCACGTCTTCCAGTGACTTGACAATTTGCCTTTATTGTAGTGGAAATTTCTCAATAAAACAAACATACTTGACGAAATTGAAACAACACCGTTTCTCAATATGCGCCAATCACACAACGTTATTGTTATAAGATATTTCGAGAGATATAGACGCTCGTCAACAAGTTTATCATATTATAAATTACAGCACCAATTTTGTTTCGGAATTACTCGTATCTTCCAGCAGCTCAACTATCTGGTGTTTTCTCCAGTGTTAAATAGTTGAAAAGTATAATGATAGGCGTATGTATATTTCTACAAACAGATTAAAGACTGATTACTTGAAATTGTTCATTTATACGTGCCCTGAAAGATGTACGCATATTTTGCCCACGTGCAAATTGACATTGAAAAAAAATAAACGAGCTATTATTGAAAGAGAACAAACTAGCCATACAACATCTAATTATGAACACAAGTGATTTTATCAACAACTGTATAATGTTGGTAATACTTACGTCAATATTTACGAATGATGATCAGTCAGATAATGACGTAATGCCGTATGAGAGAAAAATGGTACGTAATTAGTGCATTTGAGACCATGATGGCTGAGCACACTACTTTACTAAGACAGGTACTTGTGGGTACCTTTATTGACGGCATGACGTCATCACACCATGGTAAATATTGACAAAATTTTGAATACTCGCTGTAGTTTCGCGCCCGTTTAAAAAAAATGATATAATAATTGGTATTAACATACTTAAAAAAGGGTTCATCAGCGCATGAGCACTACTTCTCATTTACTAAGATGCAACTGTCACGTGACTGCAATCCTTAGCTGCTGCAATAATCCAATTCAACGAAAACGTACGTTCAAAATGACCAACTTACTTTTGTTTTGTTTTATTTGTTCATAGTAACGTCTTACTCAAAATTTCGTAAATCATTCTTCTTCGAAAGTAAGGCATGTCATGCTAGATAAAATAATATTTTGTTAACACAGAGTATTGTCTGTGAAAAGACGAACTTTTAAAAGTTTTAAAAATATTTTTTCTCTGACTGGTGAAAATTTTGCAAAAAATCCATGAATCCCAGCTAAAATAGATTGCTAAAAGACATATGAGCGTATGTATGGGGAGGGGGAGAAGAGAGTTTGAAAGCGAGGATTGAAAAAGAAACTATATTTAATTTTTAACAAATTTATATACCTTTTATACTCTTCAAACAACCATCTTTAGTTATTCAAAAACTTTTGTTTGTAGTTGTGGCCGACGCCCCCAAAAAATCAACAAAAAAGCAAGTCAAAACAAAACAAAACTATCAAAACTAAGCTAAGTTTCGTTAAATCTCCTTGAAATTGAACTACGTCATCAAGTTGTTCTGAAATTCAACTGACTCTTAAAACGTGTGTACAACGAAATATCAAGCAGTTCTGACATTAAAAACAGTCTTGAGACATACAAAAAAACAACAAATTGAGCCCCATATCGAAACATTAATTGTATTATCAAGCATTTCTGAAGGTGAACTCAATCAAAAGACAGATGAAGACAACAATCATTCCAAATGCAGATGGAATGATTCATTACATTGATTAAAAGGTTTAATCTTCAGGCTAAAAGATATTCTATAACTAGATATAGTCTGTAAATTGACTAACCTGAGTAAAATTAAATGATGAACGTCGAGAAACATATTCAGCGTACTAAAAAAGAAACAATAAGATGATAATGCGCAAGAAAATATGGAGTTCTTCATCGTTTTGAAGTAAGGAAAGGTGACACAACACGACTATTTATGTATGTACCTGACAAGCAAAAACCCCACAGTCACAGCCATTTAGTTGCTCAGGTATATCCTATAATGTAAAGCAGACTTGATGCTTATAGTAACGTAAAACTCAAAATATAAATGATAATGAAACACAAACGAAAAATAACCGCTTTGCAAATGCAATACAAGGTTCAATGAAGCTCAGTCTACGGAGCTGTTTAATTTGTTGATCGAATTTATAATTCTGTGTGTGGAAAATAACTCGTCATATGTTCCGTGACATGTGAAATTGGCAATACAAAACAGTTTATATGAGATCGTGTTATTTTTTTAAACTTAGAAATCAAAAGAAAAAATTCACCATTCGACAAATTGTGCGTATGGATGTTTGCTGTAGTACAATCATAACATAACATGTGAAAAGGTTCTGACACTGTAAATGAGTGTACATGCAGATATGTAAAAAACAGTGTTTGCAACAGCGAAACCCAAATTCTCTGAACTCCGCTGCCACTCTATAGCAATGCAAAAAGCGTACAGAAACCTGGAATTTAGCACCCGGCTGCACCTCTCAGAACTGCATGGAAATAATCACGTACAGTGGTACCACGTGGTGCAGAAAAATCGTTGATATTTCATCAACGTCAAAACTGAATTTTTAAATGAGAAAATGTTACCTTAGGACTGTCGTTTCTCCATCCAGTTAGATCAAATTTTGTTTTCTTTTTATCCAAACTCTCCGCGCAAATATAGTCACTGTAAACATAAAACGTATCATGAATAGTTTCGGATTATAATTAAGTATGAAATGGATTGAATACGTTACAATCAACTACATTTTGTATAGAAATTAATGAAATTGGGTATATATACATTAATTTTAATACAAATTGTATTGTATGAAAATTTCACGTCTATATACAACACGTACATCTATAAACACATATATAAAACAAAATAGAAGTACGCAATACGTTTTCCATACATTTTTCCCAAACGTTTAATAGGAATATAAATGAAATTCTAACCGTAAAGCCTGGATGCAATTCTGATTATCTCCCTTTAAAGAGTCGTAGTAAGTAAATGTTTTTTCTTTCAAGTCAATAACCTATGGATACAAAAGAGAAACACAAACAATTAACTATAAACCAAAAAAGAAATTCTTGTCTGAACAAAAATTTTGATGATATATATGAGGACAGAAATAGCATACTTTTGCGAGAATCAAATTTCAAAGGTTTTTCCCGCCACAAATCGTTTCATGCCCCGGTCATTTAATGTTATCGGATTAGCGCATGCTTTTTAATGCGTTTTTCTACACCATAATCATCATATTCTCAAACAGTTTGTACATAGTTAAGAGTATTACAAATTTCTATTAACCCTTTTGCAAAATACATGAAAACAGAAAAAAATCTCAAGCTTCATATAACTAAGTCTACCCCCCTACACTTAGCAGATGTTGCCGCGTGCAAACTTCAGGGTGGGGGTTGCACAGAAGGTGGATAAAGATCCAAAAGATAACTTTCTCTCCAATAAATTAATTTTATCACTGTAATTTGGGTTGAAAGAACCTTGTAATCCAACTTACCGCCAAGCACCAATGCATACCAAGATGAATCGGTATTAACACGATGTCCAACGAAAATAAATCAACTTTTTTAGTCCAGCGCCGCAAACTTGTATGACCAGTTTTAATCAGTTTTGGATAAAAAAATGTATTAAAAGCATGAACGCTAACTCCAGTTTTTTTACTGCGCTCGGCAATCATATGGAAATATGCGTTCACGACCTCGTCGTTAAGCCATGCTTGAGGTCTCAGCGTTATGATGTCAGCTCTAGTTATCCGACCAATAGAAAGCTCCACGAGAAGCTCGTTCGATGCACCATGACCCAGGGCCTTGTCAATCTAAAATTGGGAAGCATTCATGCGGGATTGTACCGCGATGTGGAATATATAGCGAGCGTGAATGATTACGATTGCAACACACATGCAGAGTAAAGGATATAGCATGACAGGTTGGGATTGAAACAAACATGCAGAGTGAAGGATATAACATGACAGGTTGGGATTGAAACAGACATGCAGAGTGAAGGATATAGCATGACAGATTGGGATTGAAACACACATGCAAAGTGAAGGAAATACCCTGACATGTTGGGACCGTCACACACAAGCAGAGTGAAGGATATAGCATGACAGGTCGGGATTGGAATAGTATCACTTAATGATAATCCACGTATGTGTCAATTATCACGTGATGCTTATCACGGGTCGTATTATGTAATGTCAGTCAGACATGAAGTACATCAACTTACAACGCAATTCATTTCATCTGTCAGCTCTGGAAGCGCATAGATCTAAGAAACAGCGATAAAATTAATATATCATCGAATCAACGTAACAATGTATTAGCAGGGATTTGGCCGAACTAGAACCAAAAGAAAAATCTCAATGACATTTTCAAAGTGATTATAACACGATATTTTGCACGAGATTCAACAAAATAAGACGTCATTTTTGTGTAATAGGTACTGAACTGCATGACTAGAGATTTTATCATAATATAATGTAGAAAAACATTTTTTGTTCATTTATGTATTCATTCTCGTACCTTTTCCTGTTCAATTTTTTGTTTACCGAACATTCTATCTTTTACCTGAGTACATTCAATACAAAAATAATTTGAAAATCTAAACTTGATGAACGAGGAAATGTAACAAAAAACGCTTACATACCTGTTGGGATATAATTTCCAAATCATCTTTCTAAAGGTAAAATAGCACGTGAGACAAAAACAGTTCACAGTAAATGTTACAAAAAATTGACATAGACATAACGACCAACGTACTCTAAATAGTCTAGTTACATGTAATATGTAGGATACCAATCTCGAGTAACATGACTTAATTCAAGAGTGATAAGTTGCGATTGAGAGAGTGGCTTGCAATGCAGTTGCGAGTCACTCACGAGTATGAGAAGTTTGCGAGTGAATAAATGACTCGCTGTTTGCGAGTGAATCGAAGTAACTCTCAAAAATTACTCGAGCTCGGTACTGTAGCAATGGTAGGATTGGTTTTAAGATTAAAAGGGCATGTTATTAATCTTACAACTGCAAACAAAGAATTCGTTCATCATCCTTTTGTGAAATATCTCATCAATGTATTTGTCTATGATCAGTGTTATCACTGTTATAATATGCAGCAAATTACTGAGTATGTACATGGTCTAATGAAACAGGAGTTTTGTGCAAATTTACTTCCGTTTTGACGTATTACATACGGAATCATTCATTTAGGATAGAGAAAAAGCATAGGAAAATATACCTCTTTACGTATGGCTTCAAGTCGAAGTTTTTCTTTAGCAATCTTTCGTTGTTGTTCTAAAGACTCTGCGCTCAAGGTCTCTCTCCTAAGTATTAAGAAAATCTATTTTGCCGTTTACACAAATACGTAACTTAAGTTCATGAAATTAACAGTTGTCAGGGTTTAAAAGCACTTCATATCAAGCTACACGTAAGTATTGAAAGTGCAGAAAAAATTTAGTTTCCCATTACATACGTAGGAGTGATATACAACCAACAAAAAATGAATTGAGCCAGGCAAAAGCCATTTTCTAACTATTCGTGAAATTAATTCTCAAGAAGGAAGGTCGAGGACTCGCATGTGTAGTTTCATGCTATCCTTTGAGTACGTAAATGCAAGTTTCTAATAGTCTACTCATGAAGGAAAGCACTAAAACAAGTTAATAAGTCTTACCATTTCTTTATCCAGTGATCATTTAACAAATCAAAAGACCTACACGAGAAATAACAAAACTTTGAAGTTCTTTCGAGCAGCAACGGTCATGACGAGAGTAACAAATAATAATCATACATCAAGTACAGGCAATATGAAATTATAAACACATCAAACAAAAATGTGTACCTTGGTGAAGAACGGCTCGAGGTTTTTTCAACCTTGGCGATTCCTAAAAGTTTCAATGATAAAACAGCAATTTGACCAGACAAAACACAAATGCAAACAGATAAACCACCAATCGCACGTATTTTACGTACCTACATTTTACACACATAAATACAAGAATTCTGAGAAGTACAACAGCGTATGTATACATACATACATAAATTAGAAAACATTTAAATGTAACATTTAGCAATAATCATTGCGACAAGCTATAAAAACATGAAACAGAAGCAAACCTTTTGAGAAATTTTCACGAATCACTTTTGATTTTTCCTCAACAGCCATTGCCAATGGTTGCTTTCGAAAAGTTGTAGACGATTTTTGTAATTCTCTGTCCGGTGACGAACGAATATTGACCGACTTTGCATTAGTTGATTTCAGAAGCGGTTTCTCATGGAGCGATTTCCTGAAACAAATCGCACGAATTAAATACTCTCAATATCATTCATCAAATAACACAACTGGCAGATTATATCAGACTATTTCAGAGTTAATAAATCGTGTGGTATTCATTTACAAGTTTCGGCGTTAAGATGACAACAAATAATATGTCGATAAGCTGTAAAGCTCTATAAGATGGATCGTGACTAAAACACCACACGAGTACATACGGGTACATACGAGTACATACAAGTACATACTATATAGGGTTAGGTTAGGGTCATATATATATATATATATATATATATATATATATATATATATATATATATATATATATATATATATATATATATATATATATATGTATTTAACCCAGACATATTATGATAATGATAAGGATTCTCTGGATTAGAAAATCCTAAATCCTAAATCCTAAATCCTTTTTTTATTTTGAAATTTTTTTTTTATTAAGCTTTCAACTCGGTGCTTCGAGCCTTCGTCAGAATGTGCGAATATATTATTTACAAAGATTTTGTAGGCGTTTGGAGCGTCTGATTGGTTGGTTAGTAGTTGAGTTGATATGGATGGTATAAGATGCGTTGTCATGGTTTCGGGTGTATGGATTGCGTTAATGAAATTTGAGTGTTTTATTTTAGTCGTTGTGTTATTAGTTTGTTGTCTTGGTTTTGTCTTTAGTTGTGAATAGATGATGGGGATGTCAATATGTCTGTTTATTGTGTTGTTGTCTTTGCTGTACCATGCCTCTTTGAATTCTCGTGCGTGTTTTGTCTGTGCGCGTCCAAGAAGTTGTGTTTTTGTCCAGTCAAATGTGTGGTTGGTACGTGTAAAAATATTTCAAAATATTTTCAAATTATATATATATATATTTGACATACGACTACGAGTGACATACGACTACATACTGGTCATATATATATATATATATATATATATATATATATAGGAAGTTTATAATTTATGATTTTCCGTATAAAACAGTGCTCGATGCCCGAGAGCAGAGCGTAAATATAAGAAGAAGAAAATACACAAAAACTACAATTTCATCCCGACAAGCCCGTTTCGTGATTGCTCACTCTTCAGGGGATTTGATTTGATATATATATATATAATATATAGGAAGTTTATAATTTATGATTTTCCGTATAAAACAGTGCTCGATGCCCAAGAGCAGAGCGTGAATATGTGTAGTGGTGTTGAGAAAAATACACAAAAACTACAATTTCATGGGATGAGTTGCCTGAAGATCGCCCTACGGCGTGAAACTCCGAGTAGCGACAGCAAACAATTTGTCCATTTTATTTTAGTTCATTTTATATTATATATATATATATATTATATATATATATAGATATATTGTGACCAGTATGTAGTCGTATGTCACTCGTATGTACTCGAGTTTATTTATATTATATATATATATTTTATATATTGGTAGGAGAAGAAAATACACACTACAATTTCATCCGACAAGCCTGTTTCGTGATTGCTCACTTTTTAAATGTGTATCCTATTTTTATGCTCGAGCACTGTTTTATACGGAAAATCATAAATTATAAACTTCCTATATTTTATAATATATATATATATATATATTGTGACCAGTATATAGTCGTATGTCACTCGTATGTACTCGTATGTCAGTCGTAAGTACTCGTATGTCAGTCGTATGTACTTGTATGTACTCGTATGTCACTCGTATGTACTCGTGTGGTGTTTTAGTCACGATCCTATAAGATGCGCCAGATCACAAACATTGTAGCTCATGTCTCTTGGGAATACAAATATACCTTGGAGAAGTGGCTTTTGATTTTCTTTCATCCTCATCATCAACTGTAATTGTTTTCCTGGCATTGACGCTATCATAATATTGAGGGCGACTTGATGAAGTATAACAAGCCAGAAGTTTCATGTACTGCTCTCTCTCCTGAAGGCGCACGACCTACGAAAAGTGTGAAATACAGTTTGAAATGTTGGTGCTTTGAAAAGAAAGCGAACACTTTTAGCACATATTTGCTCCACTATAACATTTGCATGTTGTAACACGTGCGTAAGATCTATTATAGAGGTTTCAACAGTATAGGAAACACATAAAAAAATGAATTTACTCACTATAATTATAACTATTACTTGTTTGTAAATGTAGATTTTCCAGGTTAGTAGACTCGGAGGACTGTTAGAGTTAATTTTGACTGACGTTTTGACAACCTTAGCGATTGTCGTCTTCTAAGTCGTCGTATCCTATTTTGTATACAGGATGACGTATGACAAATAAAGACAAATACGCATAACCTGACGTTTACTCCTCACTTGACTCTGAAGATGACTACCGCTAAGGTTGGCGAAATGTCAGTCAATATCAACACCAACAGTTCTTCTCAGGACTCTACTAACCTGGACGATCTACATCCACAAACATGTTACGATTCTATGTAAACTTTCGGTGCTCACTAATCCAAGGAAGCCCTTAGCTAAAAATCCCTGCTGGACCCACAACTGAACATTATTATGTGCAGTGGGGTCACTCTATTGAGGTTTTTTGGGTCGCGAATTTTTATTACGCGTGTGATTAACATAATTGTAGTCACTTTAAGTGCTCAAGAAAGTGGTAGCACATTGTTCATTCTTTATATTGTGATCCTATTGAACTGATCAGGTTAAACTAATATAAGTTCATACATGCAGAAGACTTAAACTTTAAACAATAACATATTATTCTACTCGCATCTTTTTCCGATATACAAGCTGTAGAGAGAGGCGTTTATTGTTATTTTTGTATAAATCGATGCCAAGTGTGTGATGGTAGCGTGCAAATGGAGGAAATAGGCACATCTGGAGTAAACTGTGTAAACTTACATTATCTACTGGCAAAAGAATTTGGAAGTTTCGGTGGTTTAGGTTTCATTTGTACGGGATTTTCATGCCTTGAGAACACGGGCTTTCTTGAAACTTCCACTTCACGATGTTGACGTGAGCGAAAAGAGGAAACAGGTCTGGCTTCTTCCCGCGAGTGCTCCTCGACAGGATCGTTGGCATATTTTGAAGGATCATAAACTTTTCGCGAGAATGTCCCATTTTGCGATGTTTGAGAATACAACGTGTAGCTTTCGTCAAGAGGTTTCCGGCGCCATTGTGAAAATCGCTCTTCATTATCACGTTGATTAGAACGAACCTCTCTCTACATGTTTTTTAAAGAAAAAAAATCAACTGGAGAGTTAAAAACACGCTAAATGGGGGAAAACTTTGAAGTCAATGAAAAACGAGATACGACAAGTTGCCATCAAGCTTGCTTTGACAATTTGTGTAATAGTGAAAAAAGTTTGAAAAAAGCAAACTTTACTTATAAATCACCCGAGAAAATTTCACGTTCATTCAATGAGAAACATTGAATCGTGGGGCTGCAATAATTAGAAAAATCCACAAACAGATCCTGTCTGTCTCAACGTAAATTACTACGTACAAGTAGCTGTCCCCAATAACTCAAGTTCAACGATTAATCAAGACATCTTCTAAACTGTCCCATCAGCAGTAGTTCTTACGTACCTGACGTGTGGACATATCCTTAAATTCTGAGGATATTGTTGGTATGGCGTCGTCTTCCCCCTCTACATCATCTCGCCAATATCGTTCACAAATCGAATGAAATGCATTCACAGTTTTCAAAGCCGTCCGTTTTACCCAGCTAGCAGCTCGTCCCAATGACGAGCTACCGTCTATCCAACTTGAAACTTGCCCAGGTGGCGTAACGTCTACTTTAAACATAAACAAATCAAACTTTAGCAGCGGAATTTAGCAGTAGATGAATTGTTTGCTTGTCTTTAAATATTTTCACTTTACATACCTTGGTGGAAGTTGGTTCGTTTAACTCTTTTATATTGTGGTGTCTAAAATATGAGGAAACACAACATGAAGAACGTGGATAAATAAAATATGTGTTGGAAAACTCCTCTCAACTTTCCAGTTGCTAATTCAGTAACAATCTGGAGACTGTATATTTTGACAATTTTATTGAAAACACTCACAAGTCTCACTCCCCATCTCTCTGTGCCTTTCAATAGTTTAAATTCACATATTTTATCTTCAAGTAATGCAATCTGAATTACCTAAACCCTATCTGTATTTACAAAGAATTTCTTAACAACATGAGTGATAAAATACTTTTTAGTTTTTGTTATTGCTTGTTGCAACAATTTGGTGTTTTAGATATTAAATATTTATTTTAATATTCTATAAACAAGTAAAAGAAATTTAAATTTTACACTGGTACGTGGGTGTTGAAATCACTGGCTGCTAATTGCCAAAAGCAGGCTATATTTTAGAGGTGGCAGATGGAAAAATTTTGAACTGCCAATTCAACAATTAAATGGCAGACTCTAATTTCCAAGTAATGATTATAATAAAACAAATATAAGTACCATGTCACATTTGGCATTTTAAAAATGAAATTTGCCAGCACGAGTTCACTTGGCCAGCCATAAAAGAATGAAAATAAAAATGAAAATGCCTGGTCGTAATTTTTCTATTTCCAACCCTAGTGTAACACCAAACAAATCAAAAAAGTTCCAGTTTTGACTGGCATCCTTTGTTTTTCAATTTCCTAATGTGTAGATATTATTTACAATTGTTAATCTATTGTTCACATCATTGGGATGAAGACTGTATATAGCTAGCTAATTTGAAAAATGAAGTAATGTTTTACCCATGCACCAAAATATATAAAAATAAATTCATCAAATGTTCAAGTGGTAAATTAAAGGGATATTTCTAGAGTTTTTTATTGAAGTCATACATCACAATTTTGATTACAAAAGGAGGTAACTCAATTGAAACTACAGCAAAATACAATAAAAAATGGCCAAAGAACAGTTCAAAATAATATTTGCTAGTTCCATTTTATAACCAGTTTATTATACGTATATACCTGTATGATATCTGTGGAAGCAAGGTCTTTATCTTCCTTGTTGATACTGTCTTTGCTATATAAAGATATATATGTTGAGATGGCAGCTAATGCTGTAGTATCTACTACGACAAGAAACTTCTAGCAACCCTTGTCATAGAGTCTACAAATAACACTTAATTTTCAAATTTCATTTGTACAAAGCCATTATTGCTTTATTTATATGCAATAACCACATTCCATATGAAGCAATGGGCCAGTAATTATAGTTGTGTTCATTGATGAACTAAAATGGTTCTATAATGAATAATTTGAAATTTTTGATTTCCCATAAGAAAATTCTCTGACACTTAGTAGAGAAAACATGGCTTAGTGGGTACTCATCATTAGCCATAGAATCTAGAATCACAAAATCAAAGAGTTGCTCAAATTTACTCAAGCAACATATTCAATAATTTTACTAGGAAGATGTATTCCATGCATTTCATTTCATGCTTGATACATCAAATATAGTTTTTTTCAAATTGTGGCCATTTTGGTCATTGGTGTATAAGTTCTATGAGAGGAATCTAAACTAAAGCTAACAATGAGTCAAAAAACCTAGAACATGTCCAAATTGGATGTAGGGGATGACTAATAACTACTACAAAACGACAGATTGACAATCACAAATTCTTTTTTAAAACACTTAATACAGTTTATCACGTTATATGAGTGTGTAAAATCCCCCATGAAAGTCTGGAGTAACATATATTTGCTTTTGTCATTTAATGACATATATTATTCTAGTCAAATGGCATTACTTACTATAAGTATAACACCAACCGTTAGATATAACACTATAATGATTATAGTTACTTATTCTTGACATGTATTTACCTATCCCACTTTCTTTTAATCGTGAATTTTCTCTGGAGTACGAGTACTGAAACCAACATGCTAAATTACACAATTTTTTAGCAATATTTTGTCAGTATTTGTGGACGATATTCAAAATATACTTAACTTCCGCGCCCACGAATGTTTAATCAGCGGTAGTAGCAGTTGCTGCCATGCCATTGAACTGCAATAACAACATATTACAAATAACAACCATTGAGTTCTATAAGACCTATAAGTTCTATTAGTTCTATTCTTATAAAACTCAATGATAACAACATGTTTATATTACATTTCATTGTGCCATGCTGCTCTGTTGCAGTCATAGATTGACTTATTGGTTGTTGCAATTGGTTTCAATTGTCAGGGCCGTACCGAAGGGGGTTACTGGGAAGGTGCATTACACCCAAGTTTATTACATTACGTTATATTTGGAAAATTGGATCTTACTCGGTTTGTCTTCATATATTTCACATGCGAAAGAATAAAAGTTGGGTAAATGGCATAATTGCATTTATTGATTTCGCTGTGTGCCTTCTTGTTCAGACTGGTTTTAAAATATTGGACTATGACTGGTTGGTAAATTCGTAATGCCGAAGTAACTGCAGGATTGTCTTTCCTGGTATTTAATGAATTATGAAAGAGAATTTGATGCAATCGTCGACATGCTTATACTCAACACTACAATGAAGAATAGGCAGAATGTCTGAAAAAGTTAATAATTCGCCTGCCACAATAATGAAGAATTATAAAAGTAGTGATGTTGAGGAATTTCTTAATTTCTTCCCCATACAAGAACTTAACCTTCGTGCATTGCTGCTTATTTTGAACTCTTTATTTTCAAAATGGCAATTAATTCATTTGCAGAAGAAGATGAAAAGATGTGTCATGCTCAGCACTGACAAATTTTATTTATTGACTAGTTAAAATGCTCAAGTGATCAGGGAGGTCGCTACCGTGGGGGTGTAACACCCCCCAATTGCAAATTGAAACAAAAAACAGGTAAAAATCAGGTAAAAATCAAGTGCGAAACTATTGAAACACTGACATAAACATAATATTCATCATCAACTTAGATTGTTCGATAATAGAAAAATGTGCGGTACGATAACGAGTACGACTTTTCCTTGGTTTCCTCCAAATCAGTTCACCTTACGATGTACGTTTATAGAGTGATCAGTGATCCCAAAGGTCAAAAAAAGTAATACTATTATACGTAACTTCAAACTGCTGCGCATGCGTTTGTTACCATTCTTAAGTTACTGGCATGTAACAGGTATGACAATTGACAAAGCACATTTTTGATGCTAGTTAAAAATCATCATGCAAAATTTACCTTTAATAACAAAATACGCAAAGAAACAATAGTTACAGAACAACACTGACAGTGATATGTTATACTTTGCTTTATGCTTACTCAGTTAATACTTTGTAGAAAGTAGACAAAAAGTAAACAAAGCTTTCAATCATTTCTACGTTTCGACTTTTGACGACTACGTCATCTTCAGTGATAAGAGTACATGTTTCTCTCCAGAACATTTGTTTTTTATGGAAGTATCCATAACTGTTATACGTCATGATTTTATTTTCAGCGGCGGACACCGAAGCGCTTATATGCGGAGCGCGGGCTCGTTTTCGGTTAGGGTTAGGGTTTGGGTCTAAGGTTTCCGCTAAACTGCAGTAGTCCTCGTAATTCAATAAGCGATTCTAGACTGTTTAGTCTAATGTTTCTTATAACTGAAAAGGATCTCATTGATGAAATTGAATTTGACAACGTAGTAGAGAAATGAGAAAAATAATGTGCTTGACGTATGAAACATTAATAACTGAACCAATGCATACTTTTCCACATTCAAAATAAATGAGTATTGATCCGTGGTGTGACAAATAAGATTAACATTATATTATAATGAACAGTTTTCTTTGAGATAATGTCAGTATGTTTGGATTTTTATTCGGAAAATTTTGGTCGGCACCTTCCCCACACACACACCTGTCGGAGTCTCGATACGGCCCTGGCAATTGTAGTTTTTACATCAAGTTTATTCCTGGTTTCCTTGAATTAGCATCCTATTCGCAACTGCAGTCAACTCTCGGCTTGCAAACATCCCTGTTTTTACACATAGTTAAAACTCCCCAGCAGACGCTCGTCGGAAGCGGGGGTGGCGGGCAGCTAAAATTGATGAAAAAACTAAAATGCCGCAGTTCTTCTCCAAATTCCACAGAAACACTAACATAGTCTCATATTTGGATTTAGATCACCGTTTCATAATTTGATTTGGATGGATTTACTTCGTGTATTTTGTTTGTCGAATCTTGTTGCAACGGACACTTTGCAACGGATGCTTGGTGGCTGCATCAATGTTTCTGTTCTGCCATATATTTTGAAATACGCAGTGACTGCAGCCTGCAGTACACTAAATCACGATTCGCAGAGGTCAGTTTCTTTGCTATAAAGAGAGTCGACTGTCAGGGACGTCGCAAAGACCTTAATACTGGAGGGAGTCGTTAATATTTACCAAAATATTTTTTTTAATTTACCTAAAATTTTGCGGTTTTCCTGACATGGATTTAGGGGGATTTGCTAAACATTGTTTACAAACTTATTAATTTTAAAAAAATAAATAAACAGTTTATTCCTTAAAGAATTTTCAGTTTTCAGTTAAAATACAAACTATTCATGATTAATGCATTGATCAAAGTATAACACATGAACTGTCAGGTTTATAAAAAGGAGTTGCAACAATTGTTTCTTTGCTAATTTATATCAAAGGTCAATTTTACATATTGAAATTTTAACTATTAATTCTAACGAACTGAGAACGAAAGCAGCAGTTTAAGGTAAGTCTAAAGTAAGTATTAATTTTGACCTTTGTGATTACTGATCACTCGGTAAATTTTCCTTGTAAATAGCCTAACTTGGAATAAATGAAAGAAAAGTCGTACTCGTTAGTCTTACTGCACATTTTCCTAAACCATAGCGACAATTTATGTCAGCATAGTACTAGTATACCAGTTGATTTCAACGTGATTTTTGTTTTAATTCGCAATTGGGGGGTGTTTCACTCCTCCCCGTAGAGACGCCCAAGTCGACTGCATCCCCAAACTGTATTCATATTAAGCTGCCAACCTTTGGGCACTTGCACTCAATGTATGTGAGATATTAAGGATTGAACATTTCTCGTGTAATTAAGAGTGTTTAAAAACATTTGACAACATCTTAAAGAAGCGGCAACATTTTAAAAGCCGACATGTTTCGGCATACTTTACGTTTTGGCGAAGCGAATAAGATGTTTACAGAATTACAGCATTATTATTTGGTTAAACTGATTTTAGATATTAACTTATACACTAACCACAAAACATAACACTTCAACTGACACCAACCCTTACACCAATAAAAAACCCACTTAGTGCTCCAAAAAGTGGTCGGATTAAAGCCAGACCAACCGTATCAATGGTTATGGACAAAAACCATGTGCACGAGAACACTTTAGGCTAACGACAGTTCCAAACTTCCAACTTTTAATGAGGGAAACGTCTTTCAAACAAAATACAATGAGGGATCTAGACTGTTCAGCTTTCAGTAATCTTTAATGCACCCCGCAGATGAAAAATTGATGTTTAAAACGATCCTGAGTTCATCGTTACTTTTACAATCAAGGGGCAATAGTTTTAACTTTCTTTTCTTTTCATGAAATCTTCGTAGCGTAAGCAAGCTTTTGTTAAATCCGCTGCAAATTTTGGTACACCTGTCTGAAAGATTTGCAAGTTTAAATATTTACAACAGTTACGACTAAATATGAGGTATTTGTATCATTTTTGACGTGAATGTGGAATATACCGAAACGAAACCGGGATTATTAATACTATTTGATAAAAATTCACGTCATAACAACACAATATTCACTGAATGAAGGAGCGTTGAGATCGAGGGAGGTAGCCCCCCCCCCTCCCGCCCCAAAAAAAACAAGAACAAACCAACGGACATAGACAGCCCCTGACTGAATGGATAAGATTACAGCAGAATGCTCACTGTAAGGAGTGTAATCGTCGTAGATTAAAATGACAATTTGTTCTTGTACTATTTTCATGACTTAGAAACATTGAAAGCCTTTTTTGGATCCACGTCAACCATGTAGTGGGGTTTGACTACAAGACGACCTTATTGGTATGGAATTATGGTGTTACCATTTCATTTGAATTTTCTCAACATTGACATCATTTGGAGCTGAAACAAAACATAGACTACAATATAAAGACGTACCTTCGCAGCCCAATTGATCAACCACGTTGGAATCATTCCACCAGGATTGTCAAAATAATACATAAAGGCTGGGAAAAAAAATTGTAGCTATGTTCACAAAGATATGGAAAGACATGAAACCACTGTAATATTTTAATTACCGTAACTGCATACGTACGTTAAAGCATGCAGTACTGATAAAGCACATTTAATAAATACAACATGTTTTTTAAAAATAAACATGTTTCAACATCTCATGATGCCATCTTCAGTATAATTGAGAATATTATGAATATGAAAATACATGTAGTAGTAGTATACAGTGATAGTTCATACAATTATAAGAAGTTTATATATAATACAATGAAATATTCGTTAGAATTAATGATGAGTGTAGATCAATAGATACTCCACAGTATAGATAGAGTTTGCAGAATTATTTAGCAAATAAAATTTTATTTAGTGAGCAAGATAAATGAATTACTTCGATTAAAAGATGTCTTTAAAACCTAATTCTCATCAGTACCTTATCTTGGCATTGATTTATCAAATACAGAATGACTAAATGTAATAAGATGTCACTATATAAATCATTCAACATGGCTATATTGCGCGAGCTACTTTTATTGCGGTTGATAATGTGCACGACGCGCAATATATTGTTAATGAAATAGAATAGTAATAATTTAAGACACACAGCCTAATTTTGAGTAAAGTAAAGTACCTTTTGTATTATTCTTTTCATCAGCTTGAAGTACTAGACTTTGCTCAAAATCAGAAACACGAATAACTCCATTGCGTGGATTGTATGAATTGAACAAGTGACTTTTGCCAAGCGACATAGGTATCAACACCGGATAAATTCAGCCTCCTCGAGTCTCTAATAAACGTATACTATCAAATTTAAGGAAAACACTGTTGAGGAACGTGAAATATGATGTAGCTAAAACCCATTTGAAACAGCTGTTCATGTGCTTGCTCCAAAATCTCAAATGTAAGAGAAAGCATCACTACGATTTTGTATAGAGACTTGAGAATATAATGAATAATATAAAGAAACAGTTCAAGAGAATAGTTCCCCGCCACACTGCCAGCGAATGTCAGCATGGATTTCTAAATATAATGCATTTGCGTGCTTAATAATGCAGGATTTGAGTCGTTGGATACATCACGATTACTTAACGGAAAAGGAAAATTGACGTTCCAGTAAATTCCTCTCACAGTAGAACCATTTTCTTCCTCAGTAAACTCATACAGTTCTAAAAAAAATAATAAAGTTACCATTGTCCATTACTCGCTCTCCGCCAAATTAGAAAATTGGCAATTACGCAAAATTTTTGCGCGAAGTTGATTTTTATCGAAACAATCCTAATTTATATGCATGTTAGTGGTAAATTAAAAAGTGGCAATTTTTAAAAATTTAGCTGTTTCAGCCCGAAACGCTGGAATATTCAAAAGCAATTCACTTTTTAGTTCGCGCAAAGTGCAAATTCTCACGATCAGAGGTTCCAAAAAAACGAAAGTGGTTCATATGTAATCATATACCTATTGATAATGTGTATGAAAAACCTGTAGCAGACGCGAGACAACCACTTACAGAGTCAATAGTTTCAGTCTTTTGGAGTCAAGTCAGTCAACGGAATCAAATTGCACCAGGCAAAATGAATCAAACATGGTGGTACAAAAACAGCACCATGTACAACGAATTTCATCTATGCCAGGTGACCTACGTAGTCATTTTCTTAAGTCAACAATGTTGCCTTCTTAACAAGCAAAAGTAGGTTGCATGCAGGGCTTTGGAAGAACTATAAAAGGAATGCATTCTAGAAATTATAAGTACCAATCAGGCAGTAGCATTATGTTTTCTGCATATTGTAGCTTTAGTAATACATTCAAAAAAATCAAAATATGTAAACATTGTAAAACCTCAGACAAGACATGTCAAATGAGTTAATTGTCTTAAAATGCTTTTCTTTCTTAGCAGGTAGTAATAAAGAAAAATTGTAAATTGTTCCTAAGTGATTTTTTTGCAACCCACTTGGTTACAATTTGTAGATATGTATGTTTTATAGTCAAAATAGACATATATAGTAAATGCTCTCTTTCATAATAATTTTGCTTTCACATCCCCTCTTTTAAAAAAAGTGAAGTATCGTTAGGTTCCTATGTTCCACTTTTTTACGGCACCCCAGAAAAATGGTTATGGTCAAATATACCAGGGTTGCAACCCTACGAACTATCAATAGTGAAAGTGATTAAACTATTATATCAAACTTCTCACTGCTTGGAATGAAGCATCAAATGAGTTCTCTGAGAATCAGACAAAAGGTTTGCTGACAGTAAAACTTTTGATGAAATTTGCAGCAGTTAACAAATTCAAAAAGATTTCATGTTTTGCAATCAGTTCCAATGAAGATGATTTCCTTTACCTTTCACATAACTATCCCATTGTCTTCTGTATTCCAAATCTAAATAAACTTTATAGCTTATTTCTGGTGGACATTGTAATGTGCCATACATCTTGTAAGAATATAACCCAGATACCTTAATTGAATTTCAAACATATATCTATTGTTTATTGAATGAATATACATGTTTAATTTGAATAGTTTGAATGATGAAATTCTGTTTGCACACAGTACACTTGTGTCTTTGTCCAACAACAGAATTTGTATGTGTCAACTAAGAGAAAATTTGCAAATGCAAATGTTATTCTTGAAATGCAAACAGAGGTACTTGTTTAATCTGTGATAATGTCCAACACAAGTTCAATCAACAATATTCAACACTCACAAACCTGATCATATTGTCGATATATTTTGCAATGCACACTTTTTAGTGATGTTTCAACAAAAAACTCCCAGCCTTCCAATCGCGGTGAGTTTAGCTCTTCTAATCTCGTATTAAATTCCTCGTCTGTAAACATATTCATTTGCAATTCGCATATGCCTAGGCAAATATTGAATATAAAGTAAGTTTAGGCAAATATTGAATATTAAGTAAGTTTACTTGGAAATTAATGCCACACTTTCTCAAAAATTTCATTATCTCCAAAGTTAATGGCCACTATGACTATATTTTGATGATGAAATTGCAAATAAACAATTTTCGCACGAATGTACGTTGATCACTACACAAGTGATAATTGACACCTTACACTAATATCTCGTCAATTCGTATGACAGACCACAATGGAAAGGATTTAATTTAACCTATTGAACAAAATTAAACTCCTTATACTTGCCGACTCGGAATGTTCTCTGTTACTGCGTAATTATTTCAATAAAATGCTTTTAAAAATTAATATTGTTTGTATAATATATTTGCATAACTAAAGAGCTATTCTATGAATGGCGATTTACCGCCATTTTTCAAAAGTCCGGCCAAAATTATCCAGTGTCAAACGTCAAATGTCATGGTTATGTGGAAGGAGGGAGGAAGTTATGAACATCATTATTTCGGGGGTATACGTACAAATATTAAAGCATAATTTTTACTGTATAAAGATTTATTTGGTCATGTTTGCAACTAAATTGAAATCTCTCATGATAAAAAATCAATATGCTGCACAGAGATTCCGCCAGTGATTCCGCTGGCTCCAAGTTGAACATTGGGCGGCGATGCTTTGTGTTCCCAAGCTCCTACGTCCCAAGTAGTGTGCTAATAAAAGATTTGCATTTGTTGAACTTAAATGGCTGGTGACAAGAAGTCTTGGAAAATAAAGCAAATAAAACGAAATGACTTATAGTATAAATTTGTAAACATTAACATTAAAAGTAACATAAATAATCACATACTCATGAGTCATGACCTGTTGGCAAAGTTCTCGATGTAACTCATGAAACCAAACAAGTAAACAAATAAATTGCTACTGAACGTATTTACATGGGGTAGAGCGTTGCCTAACTGCTTATTTAATCCAGCTATGCTAATTTTCTTGTATCGTTCAAAGTAAAAACGATTGACTTGCAAATAAATTAGCAGTGAAATTAATGTTTTAAATTTTCATATAACAGAACTAAAATTTGGAGATTCACCAGTTTGTTATGCCAACATTATTTAGCATTTCCCCCAAATCTACTTATGCTCCTACTATTATGATTTCGAACAATCAACAAGATATAAAATAAGTCGATGATGTTTCATGAAACCTGTCAACTGCAAAAAGACCTGTTGCTATTTTGTTTGAGAGAATATACAGTAGAACTCTGACCACACTATTGAAAATTCCCCAGGCTTTATTTGTTAAGAATTTAATATTACATGATGATGCTGAAAGGAAAACTAAATTTACTGGCAGTTTTCTTATACGTTCAAAGTATATTCTGTTTTTCACAATATAAACCAGGTGATAGCGCACCTTCCTTTATGATACAAACTTTACATGGTAAGTTCATGTACAAAGAAAAAGCGTTAAATGATACCAGAGACTCGGATCCGATCATATTTTGTGCATTCAATAAGCACTCCGCATTTCTGAAAGCTCTATGGACAGAAGATGGTTCTGTGAGAAGATTACTGGAACGTTCTCCGCGCAATACGCAGTATGTTTTTTTGTCACAATCTGACACCGCGTTAGACGATGTCAGATGGATGCAACACAAAATCTACGCCGAAATGGAAAGCCTGCATAAATCGAAAAAAGATAAGTAAGTATGCATATTAAGTGTTTTGATGGGAGAAATTTAGAAAATCGATTGTTAGAAGCCATCAAGACAATTTTAAACAGGTTTCTAGCAATAAAACGCACGAAACCAGTAAATTCTCCCAAACTGCTGAGTAATTAATAATTAGCGACACTAAAAAACAATCATTTTACGAGCTGAACTATCTAAACAAGATGTGAAAATTTGTTCTGACTGTGGCTACTGAAATAGAATAAAGATTTCGAGGGACAAATCCATTAGCTCATAGAGCAAAATTCTAAGAGAGTGGTCCCTTTGAAATCTTTGACTTTTGATGTAAATTTGCATTGCCATCTCTGATAATTTAGTTGAGCGAGTTGCAAAATTAATATTAGTTCCACGACTTGCCGAACAACATATAGATAGCTATCACTGCGAAAAAAAATAAAAACAATTTTACCAATTACATTAATCCACCCGCTAATCCAATTAGACGCGCTTTAAACCTCTACAAACTAAAAGCACGTGTAAATAAATAATTCATAACTCATTCTGATGAAGGCTCGAAGCAACTGGTCGAAAGCTCAATAAAAAGTCATTTCATGTATTAAATGCCTAGATTACCAATTTTCAAACTTACAGATATATATGTATGAAGTAGAACCTGTTGGGACACTTTGTATTTTGTATTTATCATTGTATTTAATCACACAGAACATATATAACAGACTGATCTTCTGTGTTATCCCCTGCTGTTGCTGATTAGTTAACGATTTATAGTTGAGTACTTTGAAACTCAGCACAAAGCTGCCCAAAAACAACAATACTATTCAATTTTTAGAATTTTTTCTGGAGAATCAACACTCCTGAAAGGGGACCCGGGCACGCCAGATGTAAGAATCTTGTTCCGACGATCTTTAAAGAAGAAAAAATATATAATGCAACCTGCTTTTAATAAAAACATTCGAAAGAAAAAATCTATGAAGATGAATAAAAAATATTTAAAAAAGAATTACTCGAAAGACAAAAATGCAAGCCATGGATTTTACAAAAATAAAGAGGTGGGTTATATTTTATTTAGACCAAATACTGCAATAAATCTTGCGTTGGTTTTTAGTGATTTCCATATAATCGTTGTTGTTGTAAGCATCTTCTCTGTTATGTTGAAGAAACTACTGCAGAAGTGATTCCTGCAAAATTGACAATAGCTGCATGGATTCCACATTCCAATCATATTTATTGCGTGTTATAATAAAAGTCCGGAATGAGTCCATGGGACAGTGAATATCTTATATTCATTCGTGCCCGATGGTTATATTTTGAAAGTGAAAGAAATCCGTCGGGCGCAACTGAATATATATCAGAATATACACCACAACCCCAATTAACGTTTTAGCAACGGCCTTAGATGACTCACCAACTCAAAAAATAGCGGAAGTCAATCGAAGAAGAGGTTTTTGCGTGTTATTTGCTTTTCAAAAATGTGTGGAAGAAGATCGAACTTCTTAGGGTTTTCAAAACTCAAGCCTTTGTCTTGTTGATAAAAGCGATGCCTTTTTTAGTGACTTCCACTGTGATTTTGACCATCTTTTCTGCACTCATTTCAAATCTTTAGCTATATTTGAGATTTAATTGATTGCGCTCATTCAATTCAACCTAACCAAACTTTAATAAGGAATAAAGACACACTATTCATCTTATTACTCTGTATAAATGGCATTGAACAAATAATTAATCTGTACATCAATAATTATTTTTAGGATCAAGAATTGATAAATTGGAAGAGCAAATTTCACTTTGCAACGTATCCTCTTTATGAGTTTGGTAACTGGATTCCACTTGTTATGGCTAGATGGCCTTGTCTTGGTACAAATTGTGGACTGTCACAAGTGGTTTTAAAAAATAGCAAAGGTATAAATTATTGATAGTGTTCTGCTTTTCTAAAAGTTTCGTCATTGATTTTTCATTTTTTTAAGAAACCTTTAGTACAAACTACATATAAATTTTTAACTAAAACTGGCCAAAAGAGTGGTCATATTTTAAAAATTGCTAATCGCCCAAAAAATGTATCAGGAATTATGAAATAAATTATCGATAGGCAAATAATTTGAATGAAATGTTTCACTTAGAAACATGACGTTGAAGTTGACAATTCTATGATGTCAATTTTGGTATTTCATGTAATTGTGATGCGTTTTGCTTGTTTTATTTGAAAGATTTCTGTCGCTTTGCCGTTAAGCTATTTCATTCCCAACCCTTTTTTTTAACTCAATACGCTCAGACTCGTGTGCTCCACTGCTCTTTTGAAGGACATAGTTGTAAAATAGGCCTACTTAAGGCACTGGTCGTGCATTACAACAAAAGAACTACCATGTATTTCTAAGAAAAATTAACTATGCATATTGAAAGAATTATTGCATGATAGTTGAAATATATGCTTCGGCTCATGGCACATGCAAAGTGTTAAGCTGAGCTTGTAAACAAACATCAAATTGGGTTCGATCACTTCCATTCTTCTTCAATCACTGTTCTACGGACAAAGTTTTCCCTCCAAGCGCTGGCACGTCCAGGTCTTATCCAAAAACGCCGTCTTCGAAGGCATTGACGACGTTTTATCTGCCTATGATAAAAAGGCTGCGATGCTAATGGAATATTTTGTAGCCGTTTGTAAAATTCATTTAGATACTGGAAAGCACTACGCTTGGATAAACGCTATAAGGCTTGCTATAAAACCTAAAATTATAGCTGATAAAATGCTTTTGATTCACTCAAAAGCGCTGACCATTATATGTGACGTAAGCGTTTTCAAAAGTTCCGTTTTTATCTGTCCACACGTACGATAATGTTGCGTTTTTAAAAGTTCCACTCTTGAAGGTGTTTTGAATAGTTGCGTTTTCATTAGGTGCTAGTATCGGATAAGTGTGGACGGACCACTTAAACGAAAAGTTGCGTTTTCAAATAAAAACGTATACGTGTGGACGGGGCCTAAAACTCGGACGAAAAGACAAAAGTTGGAACATCATTTAAATTTTAGATTTGAGCTTATTTTATGTTCCTTACCGATATATGTATAAAATAGTTATAGGAACAGTGTGTAAATCAACAGTTCATGAAAATTCAGCTGTTGATTATTGGAATGCAAAATAATTTTCGGCAAGTCAATTTTTTAATAACAACCTTTTCTCGTTCAGGAGAGATTCAGCGTGTTTTTCCTCGACTTTCGGCTAGGTATGATTGGCAACCCATACCATTTCATCCATTATTGAAACGTCAAAAACATCGCTTACGATATGTGAAAAATCCATGTTTGCCAGGGAAAAAACATATCAAAACAGCCTTTAAAGAAGTTGCTCTGATCCCAAGCAATGGCAAATGCTCGACATTCGAAAAGGTTTATGTAACAAATTGAAAAACTGATCTGTATCAACAGCACAACACTTTAATTTAAATTGGTTAAGATCTCTATTCACTTACAAGTTAATAACACCAAATATTATATTAAATAAAGTTTGTCAGCGGAAGAAGAAATAACGAATTACAAATATTTACTCAGTATTGTCCGTGTTGATTACTGGCAGTTGAAAAGCACATACATGCAATGGAATGCAATTCGTTGTTAATAGGAGATTTTATGAAGTATAACAATTTGCAAGGCAGTAGTGGGAGGGAATATTAGGCAGTGTGAGAAAAATGAAATATTTCAAGTCAATAGTGGTGGAACGAATGAAGTATTGCAAGACAGCATTGGGAGAAAAAAATGGAGTATTTCAAGGCAGTAGTGGTGGAACAAATGAAGTATTGCAAGACAGCATTGAGAGAAAAAAATGGAGTATTTCAAGGCAGTAGTGGTGGAACAAATGAAGTATTGCAAGACAGCATTGAGAGAAAAAAAAATGGAGTATTTCAAGGCAGTAGTGGTGGAACAAATGAAGTATTGCAAGACTATACTGGGAGAAAAAAATAGAGTATTGCAAGACAGTATTGGGAGAGAAAAAATGGAGTATTTCAAGGAAGTAGTGGTAGAAATAATGAAATCTTTTAACTCAGTAGTAGGAGAAGTAATGGAACAATTCAAGTCAGTATAATGGGATAAAAAATGGAATTATTCAAGTCGGTAGTGGGAGAAGATATGGATTATTTCAAGTCAGTAGTGGGGTCTGCTAAGAGTATTTAGATGTTTTTGCAGGAATGATTTCTAAAACGTTTATAGAAAAGCCTTATAGTAATGACTGCCGAAGAAAAATTTTATTCTTGATAGGATTTCACAAATTTAGACATTTCATCGTTTAAAGGAAGTGCACACAATGTATTTTATCAACTACATATTCTGTCAATCTTTATGTATAATGTAGATCCAAAACGCCGCAAAAATTGGAATACATTTTGTCTTGGTTTACGCTTTGGAAAACGAACCTATAAGAGAGATCAAATGCAAACAAGAAGAATGCTTTCACCTTCTTGGTGCTTCAGCAGCCATGATTTCGTTCAAGGATGGTGAAATTGCGAGAAAAATTATGAAAAATGAAGACTTATTTGTTGAGCTACAAATGACAGTTCAGGATAATTTCTTTTTTGCCATCGACAATCAAGGAAAGCTAGCGGAAGTTGGAAATTTCCTGTATCCTTCATTACATTTTCTTGCTTACGAGGCACAATGGTGAGCATGCATGCTTTTTCAAAATATTTTTCTTTTTATGTGTACATTGCAAAATGTTGCAGCATCATTTGCATTTGATGTTGTATCTGAACGAGTTGCAGAAATGTTGTAATAACATTCACATCTGATGTTGTATCTGAGTACGTTGTAGCAATGTTGCAACTCCATTCACATTTAATACCGTATATGGGCATGTTGTAGCAACATTGAAATGTAACGTTGTTTTCACTTGAAATATCAACAATAGGTCATTTTTATTCTAACAAAATCAATAATGCACTTTCGTTTAGCCAATTAAAGTGGGCTTCTCATTTTACAAGCAAAATAGTGCAAGAATAGATGAGGCCTGTATATCAGACAATAAAATTGATGATTTTCAAGTAAAAATGTTTTTGCAGGTTTCAGTATAAATCTGATCTACACAAGAACACCAGAGGTCATGCAAAAATCATTTCTGTTTTCAACCATACAATAATGCAAGGAAGTCATGGAGCAACAAGGAAAATTCTACTTCCTAAAGGTAAAGAATTTATTAAAATTATATGCTGTATAAAAAGTCAACACTCTACAATTTAAAATGATTAATATTTTTGATATGGAGAAGAGATTAGAGTAAGTAGATTATTACAGAATCACAAAAATAAAATTATTTTAAAGAATATAGCTCTTCATTTGAACTGCAACAAAACGTTTTGGTTTATTGCATTTTGAAAACCTTTCATCTTTGCTGTGTAATTTCAAATTAAAGAGAGACAGATATTCAACATGTACATTTAAAAATTTTTTTATTTGTGTAGATATTTTCGAATATCGTAATGTTGAGTTGGATATGTCACTTCGTTGTCCAGAGAGTTACGACTCGTCATGTCCACGATGGGACCACGTGATTCATCTGACAGTGTGTTGTCAAGACAAAAGTAATCTTTGTGGTTCAGAGTTAGGTCGTTGGATTTCACCTTATGCTAGGTACTTGATACATTGTGCTAGGTATTACATACATTATGGATGATATCCGATAACGTTTATATACCAAAGAGATCAAACTGCATCAATTTTGTTTATCTACATTAGAATGTATTTTTAACGTTTTATAAGTAAAATGAGATTCAACGAGGAAAGGAAGCTGTTAGTTTCATGAAAATTCGTTTTCACTGATAAATTTTTATCTATAGATTCTTTAAAGCTTGCCATAGGGCTCACTTCAATATTTATGTTATTGTTAAGATAGGATAAGGCTTGAGCATGCAGGAATAAAAATGTTCCCTAAAATAAGCGAACAAAAAACCCTATATGTTATATTTCATATAGTTGTCATTTGCTTGATAAAAAATATACATTAGGGTGAGTGTTCACCCATGAAAATGCATTTTTATAAGGGCTCGGGACTCACAATTTATGAATTCATTTTATAAACTGTAATAATCTTATTTTCAGCAGACACTGATTGTGCAGAAAATGTATATATTAATGAGCTTCCTTCCTCAAATGATGTAACAGCATAGCGAGTCGTGAAAATTCATATATGAAAATAAAATGGAATTGAAATTACATGCATGACAGTTAAGAATTATACTTTTTGTATAGGTCTGTTGGAAGATGGTTAACACCAATTACTCCACTTCTGCCGCTCTTCACCGACAAGACATGCACATTCACAATGAAGACAGTTCCTTGGGAAAAGGCTTGGGTACCGTCACTTAATATTCGTTTTTCTGATCATATCTCAGGTAATTCAACCAGAAACAGAAGTATCCGTAGCAGGTTTCTTGACACAATTGGAGTAAGACCATAGACCAATAGCACGGTCAAGTTTCCGTGAGATTGTGTTTAGCTACTAATATATTGACAAATTTTGTCATTGTGTTCACATGCATGTCGTCGTTTCCTCCCGAATTAGAAAACTATGACATTAGGTTTATAAATAACTAAAAATATTGTTTAGCTTAAGAGGCATGTTTAACATTCACTAGTATAGGATTACCGTTAATTGTTTATTAGAGTAAATTAATATAGTCTCGATGTGTTTAGCAATTTTTTTTATAGTTTTAAATATTTGATGTCAATATGTCTGTTTATTGTCTTGTTGTCTTATATTATTTGTGACTGCCATTTATTCCCTTCAGATGACGAACACGGATACAGCAAAAGACGATATACAGAAAATCTTATTCCTCAAAAAATACTGAAGCTTTACACTGGAGGGAAATTTGATAAGGAATACAACTTAAAGTATAACGAAATCTCATTCACACCTCCCAGCTGGAGCAAACAAGTGAAATTGATCGCCATTATCACTGGTCATGGAAAGGACAACAATGGATGTGCAGAGTTCTGTGTGACCTCGCATCATTTTGTCGTAAATAATGCATCTCCAACTGTAATAGTTTTTAGGAATGCTGCAAGTGCATTGGGTTGTGCTCTGCGCGTCCAAAGGGTGTGGAGCCAAATGAGCATGGAACTTGGTTATATGGTCGCGATGGTTGGTGCCCAGGCCAAGAGGTCGTACCTTTGGTTAAAGATATTACAAGCAAAGTCAAATTAAGTAGTAAAACTCCATTAGATATTTTGGATTTTCAATGGAACTGACCCCAATCCTAAATATTCGCCTGGGTACATCGATATGACTTCTTACTTGGTATTTTATAGAACTGCTAAAAATTCGAGGAAAATATAACAACGAGTCATTTTACTGTAAATTTAACATTTACGCTTTTTTATACCTAACTTTTCGACGCTATTTCTATATAAATGACTTGATAATATGGAGGTTAAAATAGGATAACAGGACATCTACTTTGCAGAAGAGGCAATAAGGTAAAGTAAGGGGAGGAACAGAGCTTCATTTAGTAGAATTTTACTTTTCAATAACTTCTCAATATTATTACTTATGGTACTAAAAGTGCTGATAGCAAAATATTGGCTGGATGAAAATGAAAAGTGTATATAAAGTTGTTGCTTTCTACATGTGATCATTATTAAGTAAATTTAACTTTTTTTAACCTACCTTAGGTGTGTTTATTGGAGTTGGAATATTTCGGAGTGTTTATAAAGTAAATAACTTGTATGCACAATGTGTTTTATATGGAATGCGTCTATTTTGCTGTTTAATTTAGAAGCCATCTCAATCTTCACTATAAGTATAGCACTGGTCAAAAAAGGTCTTAGGAAACATCGGTTTTAGTGGGTTTAATAAATACGGCAATTTTTTGATGCCATCCTCGCACCATACTAAAAAACCAAAAGCAATTTTACTATTGAAACATTCAAATGTGTAAAGCGTTACAAAAGGAACTACTGTATTCCTCAAGTTTATACTTCACCGGTCACTCCGCTATACCGGTCAGAAGTCATGGACTTGTAGCGTAATACTCTCAACTATTAAGTAGACTTGTCTCGTTTGCAAGGAGGAGGTGGAAGGATTTTACTTACTATTTTATGATTGCCTTAGTGAAAGAAAGACAACATTAAGGTGTTTCACAAATTACTACTCGCATTAAGTTTGGTCAGCTTAATATTCTCTAAGAGCGAGTGTATATTTAATATTACAAACTGTAAAATACTATAAATAATATATTACAAACATGGCACCTCTATAACGTCGACGTATCATGAGCTAACCTCCCTGATTACAATGTCCCCAATTACAATGTTCCGATTACAATGTCCTTGATTACAATGTCTTCGATTCCGACGTCCAATTCATAGTTTACAGATAGCCATCACGAGATTTTGAAACATGTTTATTTTAAACAAACTTTATTCCAAAGCCATCATCAGAGAATGTACATAATATTAAACAAACTTGTCGCATTTATTAAATGCGCGAATACATTGTAATTTATAAAGACATTTAAATTTCCTATAAAAGTGCAAACCACATTATAGAATTAACCTTTTTCAACGAAACTTTAAGAAATATCACATATTTAATGCCTTCTGAAAAGTTTTATGGCCGATTGATTCGGATACAGAAGTATTTAAAACGTAGCTTTGCATATAGAGGTGCAGAGGCTTGGAATAACATTGAAGACAAAAGAAAATATCCATTGTATACATAAACTTTATAGATTTAATATTTTTATTTTTATGTAGCTCATACTTTGTTTTTTTTGGTAATTTTTTTATTTTATGCCTAGATGTAGTATCCTTTTTAACTTTATTTTATTGCACGGCTATCTGAAAATCAACTTTTTATTTTTTATATGTAGTTGTATTTTAGGATCCAACTTGAGATACTACCGTGTTTAAATAAATGTAAATATATAAATAAAAAAATTAAGTATGTGAAAGCTATTTTCTTTGAAAACTTCCGCAAAATGCTCAGCGCATGTTTACTTAAACTCCTCGAATAATCTTCGCAGCATGTAATTTCAATCTTGACAGCATGTAATTTTAATCTTGAAAGCATGTAATTTTAATCTTGACAGCATGTAATTTTAATCTTGACAGCATGTAATTTTAATCTTGACAGCATAATTATAATCTTGAAAGCATGATGCAATTTTTCTCATTCCGCGTTTTCTTATTCCTCCATTCCATTCCCCGATTCCCCATTCCTTGTTTTACAGATAGCCTGATCGAGGAGGTAAGTTCATGACACGTCGACGTTTTACAGGTGTCATGTTTGTAATATTTATATATAAACGGCTCACAAGTGTATAAACTATCACTGTATTATTGTAAAACCTGTATTAAGCGGCACCGTATTAGGGGTCACCCTGTGTTAAGCGGTCATATGGCAAAGTCCCGAAAATTTCATAATATAAATATTATTAAAGTGACCTTTATTTAACGATCACCTCTATTAAGCGGACGAGGTCACCTTTTCCAAAGTCGCAAACTTAATTTTTCATTGTTTTGAAACTGTATTAAAACAGTCAGGTTAAGTAAAAACACCCCATAATAAAATATATAATTAAATATTTTTTCTGGAACATGTCGCTTATATTGTATTTATCTTCCGTAATGACTCAAAAGAGCCAACAATATTTTCTGTTTGTGTGGACGAATTACACCAGCAACTTAAACTTATCTTACGTCCCTTCAGCCATTGATTAGAAAACATATCTCCAAGAAGGGATATACGCAAGGAATTCATAAGTTATAACCACCTTCTCTGTTGACACACTTGCCATTGATTACTTTTCAGCAGTTTGAGCAGTGACATTTCTATGTATACTATTTTTAATTTCCAGTTCAAACTAAGAAAAAAATGCTTTATGTGGTGTTGTTATTTGGCATGCATGTTAAGGAACAATACCGATTCGTTCAACTTTAGTTGTATATATGAAATATTACATGTAGCCCGTCTGGTGATTTTCCTGAAGACCTGTATTTGGCGGTCAACCTGTATTAAGCGGTCACACGAGAAATTCCCAAGGGCGACGGCTTAATACAGGTTCTACAGAATATTAAGGTGACCAAACTTAATGCAAGTAGCAATTTGCTAAACACCTTAACAAAGTAAATGGTTTTAACAAACATGTAAACACCTTAATCTTACTTTTCTTACCCTAATTAAGGAAATCGTGAATTAGTAAGTAAAATCCTTCCACTCCTCCTCCTTGCAAACGAGACAAGTCTACTTCATAGTAGAGAATCGTACGCTACAAGTCCATAACTTCTGACCGGTATAGCGAATTGATTGGTGAAGTATAAACTTGAGGAATAAAGTAGTTCCTTTGGTAACGCTTTACACTAGTAAAGAATTGTCGGCTGGTAATGGATCTTGTATATTTAGAATAGTGGCAATAAATAGTAAGTATTAAACATTTGGGGTTAGAAAAAAGCATAGCAATCGAAGGAAAGTTGGATACTGGCATGTTGTCGTGCTAATGACGTTTTGTAAGAATTGTTACGGTCCTTTAAGGCGTGACTTAAAAGTATCCAGGACGGATTCCAGCTGCATATAGCGCAAAAAAGCAAGCTATACAAATTTTTAAACTGTTATTTTTATTACATGTTGCTTTTGCTGTCTTATAACCACTAATCACTATTATTATTCTTGATGGAAGAAATCTCCCTAAAACTAACTTTTCAGATTCATTTACAAGTTATACACGTAAAAATGGAATTGTAATTTGTACCTATATTAAATGTATAAAATTATGATGGTGCTAAATAATAACATAAAACATTGTCTTATCATAAATATGTGTTAATTGATTAAAAGGCAGTTATGAGTTTCATCGAATCATAAATATCATAAAAATAACAGTTAAAAAATTCTATGACGTGCAATTTTCTTCGCTTAATGCAGCTAAAAACGGATCTGGATATTCTTTGGTAGGGTGGTTTCTTAGTACAAAATGCAAATTACATGCCATGAAGTCCTTTAAATCCGAAAGGAGTACTGTTTAATCGCAAAATTACTCGAGAAGTGAAGTTACTTTCTAGATTGAATCATAAAAATATTTTAATGTAAAAAGAAATTTACAATTCAAAATGAATCAAAATTTTATAACATAAGGGTTGAAAGCGAGGTAAAATTTAGACGATGCAAATTTTTTGGCTTATTAAATGCTATCATTGTAAAAATTATTATAAAATAGTAGATAATCCCTTTTTCCATGAAGCTCATGGATGCTTTCGTTCATGATGAAAGAGTTATATTTTAAAAGAAGGCTCTTGTTCATCACTAGAGAGTCATGAAAAAGTTACATTGTAAAAGGTAACAAGTGAAAAACGTATAAACATGCTTAGAGTTGGTTTACATTATGGCAGAAAGCAGAAATTGCTTGAACCTTTGCAGTATCCTTGGATTTTTTAGTGTCTCTTTTATGAGAAGAATTCTTGTAAACAAAAAATACTAATTTGGAAAACAAAAAAATCCCGTTTTCGGTCCATGCATCCCGATACCCCGAGATAGTTGAGTACTAGAGCATCGCATGTTAGTTAAGGGAACCAGATAATCCTTATTTGCCATGAAGCCCATGTATGGTTTGCTCTTAACACATGAGAAACAGTAAGTGATTCAGTTAAATCTGAAATATATAAACCAATAAAAATTGTATAAAAAATGTTTAAGGTTGTCTTAAATTATAAATAGATAGATTTAGATTTGAGGACGCAACGTCTAAGACGACGTGAGTTGACCGAGGCAATCTGGGTCGACTACGCCGTCGTCTTTCATGTGAAGAGTGATTTAGATTATATGAGAAGACGACAATTTTTACGAAAAACGAATTTCATCATTTATACGATTTTACTGAGTTATTTGGAAATTGTTTCTATAGTCGCTGATAATTCAAGACATTATGGAGGATAAAACAACAGTATATTTGAGAATAATAGTTTGTTTGCGCTCATAAAAAAACATAATATATTTTTTTTAACTTACATTCAATTTTTTTTATCATAGTACTGCTATTTTCATGGCATTTGAATAAGATTTTCAATAGTACAATTTGAATTGTAGATTGGTTTATATTGATTGTATGAAATATAGCGCAAGTATTGACAAAACATCATAAAAATAGCGTAAAAAACACCCAAATTTCAATAAAATTTAGTCCTTTTTAAAAGCTGTTTTCTCTAGTTTGGATTCTAATTTTATAAAACAAGACGCCTGCTTAGGCGTATTCTCGTGCTCTGGTGATCAAGTGATTTCCGTTTTGATGATCCGATCAAAAAATGAAAGAGTGCGGGAAAAAATATGCCGAGGGCGAGTGAGTTTTACGGTTTCTTAATTCGAGCAATATTCCCAGTGTTTGGATCGGGCCACCGGCCATTTAATTGATCACACATTTAAGAAACATTTTAAGTTGTTTTATTAAATACCGACAAGATAGTAGCGTTACAAGTACTTTTTGCAAAAGCATAAAAGCTAAGTCCTCTTAAATGCCAAATTGCAGTACTATAATCTCTCAGACAAAGGAAGCTTTAAAAATTTGTAAACAACAAAGTCAAAATATCAATGATATTTCTTGCTTTCAGTTTCATATAGGAATTTAAAAGTATATATCACATCATGCATTATGTTGTGGCGTAGCTTTGTCTTTTGTGCGTATATATTTCGCATCCTTCATATTATTTGAAAAAGGATGGCTTCAATGTTTGTATTGTCGAAGAATTATATTTTTTCATTCCTTGCAGTCACCATATTGTGAAAGCGCAAAGCATTCTGGGTCAAAAAGTCGATTTCTCGAAACCGCAAGCGAAACCTGGTTAGCACTATTTTCCACTCAGCAAACCGCCCTTTACTTTACACAATCGGGTCGGCGTTAGATCATAGGTGAGATATGCACATATACGAAACTGCGCTTAATTGCGGTCAGCAGTAACAATCCACCCAGAACTCTTTAAGATTGCGCGCTTTCACCGCGAATTTTTAAAAAACAACAATGGACTCGTGCTGTTCTTCGATTAAAATGTTTTCATGGCAGAAAGACATATGGGAAAATTTTGAGGAATACAAAAAAGACACGCGCTCGGGATGGAGATGTGTGAGTTCAAATGCACTTTTCGGTAAGTATGTAATCATTGTAATGTCTACAATAATCACATAACTTCACGTCAGAATTCATACAATATATTATATTTAATCGTGCCGTCCGAGATTTCGATTGTTGCGATTATATAAAGCATGAATGAACAAATGATACACTTTTTCATTGCTAATTATTATTGTTGTTTATTATCAATAATTCTGCAATTTGAGAGATTAATACTGATCAAAGGGCTCATATTTTCAAGGCAAAACCATTAAAGAGGTGATGAATTCTGGAAAGTCTTTGTCAAGGGTGCAATGGAGCCTTTCCAATCCAGATGGAATTTCATACGCCTTTGATGGAATTCCATTTATTTGTATTGGAACATTGAATTATCATTGTCATCAAGGTGAAGATATTGATAAAAGTACGAAAATAAAAGAGCAAAGGAAAGAGATGAAAATGAGGTACTTACAACTCTATATCGTCACTTTTACTACACACATTTTCACAAATTTACCAGTGACAGCCCTGGTTCTTTGTTCTAACATATTTTTGTCGTTTGTTTTTTTAGGGTCACGATCACACGTTTAGAAAACGGAAAAACATTTTCAACCTACCAAAAATTGGATGTCCGAGCAAAGTATATATGTCACGGATTTTAAATTCCCACAGTACAAGGTAAGATAAAATTCGGTTCATATACTTAAGTCAAACTGATGTCTAGTTTTCAACAGCAAACTTAAAATTTCTGAAGTATTAAATCCCACGTTCTTTAATGTAATATGACAATTTAGGTTGAGGTTTCCTCTGGTGCTATAAAACCACGAAGAAAAATGCAAGAAAGAACATCCTTACTGAAAACGCGTTGAAATCGTGGGAAAATCTGATTATTGAAGATACGTTTCTCTTGAAGCTTCCAAGTATGGATAGTCATAAATATCATGTGACGGAAGGAGAGGTAAAATCTTCACTAATTAAGATAAAAAAAACGGCTACATTTTTAGTAAACAAAATATACCCAAATTTCCAATAAACACAGGTAGCAGGTTTGAGAGAGCCAATAGATGCACAAGTAGTGCAAAAAATAAAAGAAATGCAAGTCATAGGTGTCCGCAGTGTTGCCGAAGTACGTCGGCATTTGGAAAAGTTTGTAAATGGGCATTTATTCAATAGTAAAGATTTGCCAGCTGAGTCAAGCCGCCGTTATTATCCAACAGACGTCGATATAAGGAACATCTTAAATGCAACCCGATCTGGAAAACAAAGATCTCCAGATGACCAATTAAATTTGGAGACAAAATTATCTGAGTGGCATGAGTTACATCCCGAAGACTTTATCTTTTACAGGGTAATGTATCATTGTCTACCTTGCGCTAACAAAACTTGCCATATTAACTCCAGTTGTATAATTTTACTTATTTAACAGCCATTGACGGCGGAAGATGAAAACACGTAAAAGCACTTTTTTATTTGTGTATCAAGCGAAGTGGATGAAGCGCCTATTATTATTGTACGGGCAGGAGATGTGTCTCATGGATGCTACATACAGAACATGCAGGTAAAGAGATGTGATGCAAATACTATTCAAGCAGGAAAAAACTGTGAACACATTTTCCATTGTGATAGGTACGCCTTGCCACTCTTCTTTTATGCGTCAGATCAAATGTTGGATACATTGTCGTCGCAGTTTTTATTCCAGAAAATGAAGACACTGGCTCAATATCCGAGGTACTCCGAATATTGAGCAGGGAAAATCCGGAGTGGAACCCCAGAAACATGATGGTGGACTTCTCACTGGCAGAAATTTCCGCGATTGAAGAGTGTTTTCCTAGTAAGAAAGAATAGCCATATATATGACAAAACACAATCATTGGTGGACATAAGGAACTCATTCAAATAAAAACACTTACTGCCATGTTAATGAATTCGTTGTACTCATGAAAGAGCGACGTGTGATTGTGTAGTTATCTAAAATAAAATAATTTTGCACTGTCAATCATAAAATGTTACCCCCTAGTTTTACAAATTTTTAAAACATTTTCTTTCTAATTGTTAAGAAACGCATGTCCACGTGTGCGATTTTCACCGCGAAAAAGCCTGGGGTGAATGGTTATCTAAAAGTAGTAATGGTGTGAGTATGTATAAAGATGAAGTGTTGAGGCACTTGCGAAACATCGCCCAGAGTGAAAACCAAGCCACTCTTGATGAGAACATCCAGGCACTCAAAAAAAGCAGGCCATGGAAGGAATCAGTCCAACTACAAAACTATTTTTTAGACTTTTGGGGTTTATACTTAGAGGTAAGACTCACAATACCAAGAAGGAACAATAAATTATGCTCCCAGGAAAACACACATGCTTATATGCCCTTCAGACGTACATTGTCTATTATGTTATAAATATAGTTATGAATGTATTTACCACCATACTTAAATTAAAGTATTTGTTGCATTATTACTGACTTTATGCTTTAGAAATGGGTTCGCTTTTTTCGAGATGAACATCTTCGTATTGCAATTTATACAAACAATGGTATCGAAAGACAAAATAACTGGCTCAAGCACTCATATCTCGAAAGTAGACGAAATAACTCGGTGTCTGATCTGGTTGACGTAATAATCAACCATTTTTTACCTGATAGTTACAAGAAGTAAGTGATGGTACAATATCCGCTCCTTGAGAATTTGTACAACTTGATTATGATCGTCTTCTTTAAAATTTTGTAAGTTTTCTCATGTACGTATGGTAATTTTACATAGATACAAAGAGCAAAACATTCGATGTACGTCATCATATCGAGGCTACGATGATCGTGTTCCAAAGTATCTCCACGACCGACCCAGAGGTGTTGTTCAACATATCATCAGTAGAATCGACTCTGGCATCCAGATTTCAAACATTAAAAAAGAGACTCCAAAGCTTTTCATCGTACAAGGAGCAGAATGCGCATACCAAGTAAGGCTTGGCTCAGACGAAGAGTTACCATCGTGTCAGTGTCTCGACTTTCGAACAAAGAAACTTCTCTGCAAGCACATATGCGCAGTTGTTCAACAGCCAGACATAGGGTGGGAATCATTGGGCAGAAAATTCGACAAGTACCCCTGTTTACTTTGGATAAAGTGATAACTCAACGGTCTTCCTCTTCCGCTACAAAACCATCGTCAAATTCAGAATACACACCTGAGCAACACATAATAGAGAAAAGGATAGTGATCAGGTAATACATGTCAGCAAATCAAATAATAGAAACCTTTCTTACCGGAGAAAGTCTAACATACGTAAGCAATGCATCCAATCATTGAAGAGTCTTCAAGATGAACTGTATGTGGTTACAGATAGGAACGTTCTGAGTAAAGCCCTGGTTATGCTTGACGAAATAATTGCGTACACAAGGAAGAATCATCCTAATGAAGAGGGTGTATCGTTGAAAGACAAGTCTTTGTCACCTAAAAAAAAACAGGTGATAAAAAAACACAGGCTCCAAAAGCAGACAAAAACTCGCCAGTTAAAGCAGAGAGCGAAAAAAAAAATTAGTAAAAGAGTTGGTGCAGTTGCTGAAGCTAGGAGCAAAACAATTCTAATAGATGATGATGGTGGAATAAAAGAGGAAAGAAAGAGGAATATACACAGTGAGTTATCACATGGAAAAAAAGTAAAAAAACAAAGAAGGGATTTTTCAGAAGAAACAATCAATCCTCATGACTGCTGGGTAAAGATCAACGGCATTGGATTGACGTATCGGCAAAAGAAATATTGGCGAGTAATTGCGGATGGCTAACTGACGACCATGTTGATGCTGCACAACATCTCATCAAAAACATGGAAACAAATGTTGGTGGCCTTAATTCCATTGTGACAATGACTTACTCCAGTAGATTCGCGCTCCCCCATGAGCAAAATCAAACCATTCAATGCCATAATACTGGTTTACACTGGGTCACGTCAAGCTCCATCACAGGAAAAGTCATTGTCTATGAAAGTCTAAACACCAGCTTGAATGCTTCTTTGAGACGGCAAATCATTAATTTGTACAAAGGACTTTGTCTTGACGATGGCTCACTTGACGTTACGGTGGTACTTCAACAGCGTCAGAAGGGAGGATCTGACTGTGGCCTATTTAGCATAGCAAATGCAGTCGCACTTGCTCAGGGGATAGACCCTTGCAAGATTTCGTGGTTACAGCAAGATATGCGTACCCATTTGATGAAATGTTTCAAGCAAAAGAAATTGGAAATGTTTCCACATCGTGTGAATTCTGCAGTTTGTACACTAAGTCATTACGTCATCAGTGTATACTGTGTTTGTTTTCGCATATCCCTGGAGCTGAAATGGTTTACTGCAATAACTGTAAGAATTGGTATCATCATCAACCTCCTTACAATTGCATCAAACTTTCTGTAAAGCAAAGTACAGCATTAGTAACAGATAAACCATTCTTATGTTCATATTGTGAAGTATCTTGCTAAATTTTCTAAAGAGGAGCTCTTCCTTTTCTTTCTGAATTGTTTCACAACAGTTTATTAAATCTTAAGAATTACAAATTTTTATAAGTAATGCAGTATGTGACTATCTGTAAATTTCATTAAGATCCCTGTTCAAGGAGATGCTTAGCTGTGTAAATATTGTGCACATATAAAATAATTTGACAAGTTCAGCTCTTTCTTCTAATATATGTATGGAACAAGTTAAATAATCATGTAGGTTAGTAACTATTAAAGAACATTTTTTAACACATATTAGCAAAATGACATCATAAACAGTAACATCTCATAAGAAATCGTGCATCTAAGTTTCCCAGATTCCTGACTTTAGACATATCTTTGAACTGCAAAGGTGTAATAGGCTGTGTAGCCAAATACATGAACAAATTGAAAACAGTTTGCGGGATTAGGTGAAAACTAAGGTGTTTGCAATTTGCAATATATACCATACAGTTCATCAAGATTACAATCTTTTTCACTATGGACAACTTGTTAGTTTGATAACTAGTGTTTATGCAAAATAACTCAAATTTCTGTTTTTATTACCATCTGTTGCACAGAAGGGTTAATGATTAATGATGTACTGCTCCTTTGAAAATATTAATATATATTAATATAAATATCATAATCTCATGTATATTGGTGTCATACAATTAATATAAACGTCATAACTTCATAAGGAATTTCCTAACAAATTTGTAATTTTAAAAATTAACAAATTATATAACCTGTTAGAGCTAAACCATTGTTGTTTGGTTTATGTAATATCATGATTCTTACATGCCAGTTTATACTTTTGGAAAACCTCTTAAAACATTATATCAAATGATCATAGCAAGCTTCTTGTAAACAATCCAAAATTTATGAACAGAGGAAGTTAAGAAGTTTGATGCATAATTTAGAAAAACATGGCACTAGAATAACTAAAATTTAATATAACAAACATTTTGAAATCAGCAAATCGTGAGAATATTGATTGCAATGAAAAATGTTTCATTGCAAAATAAGGTTTATTTCCATATGTGGGTTGAAATTATCTCGATTCCCAATGTTATTCAACCATACTTTTGTCTTTCAGATAGATGTTATTGTAAACAAGATAAAATTTCGTAAACCAACCTTGTAGTTCAAGAACAATCTTTGAATTCGATCATGGTTTAAATTTGTGTTGCAACATATATATATATATACGAGAAAACCAATAAATATAATACAATATACAAAACGGTACAAAAAACCGAATAATCCACGGACGCATAAAGGCGGATCTCCACTAGACGATTTTTTTGACGATCGTCTTAAAAATTCGCTGCGCCACATGCGCAGTAGGAAATAAAATCGTCAACAAAATCGTCAACAAAATCGTCAAAGACGATTGCAAATTGCAATGTGAAATTGAGAAAATGGCGGATGTGAATCAAACTTTAATGCATTATTTACTTCTTCGAAGGCATTTGTTTTACTGCATGCATGCAGAGTAAGATCCATGAAAACAAAGCGAAAACGACCAAGATTTTGGATGCGTAAACTGTACGAGGAAAGAAATGAGAAAGGAGAGTACAATTTGCTGGTTAAAGACTTGCGATTATACGATCATGAAATGTTTTTCAGATATTTCAGGATGTTACCTGACACTTTTGAGACCTTGTTGGGGTATATTGCCCCGATGATAAGAAAGAAAGAGACGAAAATGCGAGAACCAATAAGTGTAGATCAAAGACTTTTAGTCACTCTGCGATATTTGGCAACTGGGGATGCTCATACAACTATCGCTGCCAATTATAGAATGAGCTCAACGACTGTTGGTCGAATTATCTACGAAACATGCAACGCACTTTGGGACAAACTAAAGGAAATGGGTTTCATGAAAACACCTTGCACTGAAAGTGACTGGAAAAAAGTATCTAAAGATTTTGAAGATCGATGGAACTTTCCTAATATGCTGGGAGCAATTGATGGAAAGCATGTGCAGATGTTTGCTCCTGCTGGACAGGCATCGAGTTTTTTTAATTACAAAAAGACTCATAGCATTGTTTTGTTGGGAGTTAGTGATGCAAAGTATAAATTCACACTGGTTGATATTGGTGATAGTGGGTGGCAAAGTGATGGCAGCGTGTATGCCAACAGCAATCTTGGCTATGCTATTGAAAACAAGCTTCTCAACATGCCCACAGATGGCAAGATTACCCATTCAACGAAAGTACTACCCCTCGTATTTGTAGGGGATGATGCATTTGGCCTAAAACGCCACATGATGAAGCCCTATCCTTTTTCAAACCTGTCTGAGAGGAAACTAATTTTCAATTACAGGCTAAGCAGAGCCAGACGTGTCATTGAAAATGCTTTTGTATATGTGCTAGTCGGTTTCGTGTGTTTCATAGGCCTATAGTTGCCAAAGTTGATAATGTGATTGCCATAACTAAAGCTGTTGTGGCATTGCATAACTTCCTTATGAGCATAAATGAAGATGACGATTCAAATCTATACTGCCGCCATCATTTGCTGATCAAGATGGGCAAATGGGTAATGAGTTTAACCCTGGTGAGTGGCGACAAGATGCAAATTGTATGAATGGATTGGGTGACATTGCAGATGTTGGTGCATCAAATAACTATGGTGCAGAAGCTAAGTGGGTTCGTGAACAATTTGCCGATTATTTTAATAATGAAGGAGCAGTTGACTGGCAGTGGCAAATAGTAAGGTGTTCAAAATAAAAACAAATTTAAAGCTATTTATATTCAATATGAGCATTAGTGATGTGATGGGTTTTCATACGAAAGGGGTTTTTCACTTATGTAGTTAGCAATACATGTTTAAGCTATAATTTTAAAATAAATGATTTCACTTGCTATATATCTGTATTCATTGGAAGGCATGTATCTTGTATAAGTGAGAGTATGTTATTAATTTTAATGCGATATGTGAAGTTCTACAACAATTTTCTTTAGCTATCTGAATATTGTAAATCATACAAAAGCTGTTGAATTTTTAATTTAGCTTGTCTGAGTTGCTTTTTCCATATCTCTTAAAACTGGAACAAGACTCATACAAAATAACTCTGCTTCATCCTTATCTTCATTTTCTCTTCTACCTGACAATCCTTCTAAATAATTTACCATTTTCTGGTCCATACTCTTCACATGGTCAAGAAATGGATCTAGTTGATCGTTAGAATTAGGACGTTTTCTTTTACCATATTTTGCCTCATCTGATACACTTGAACAGCTTGAAGAAGGCTGACTAGGTCCTGGAGATTGTGATGAGGATATGTCCAATATGTTCTCTGGTATTGTTTGGATTTCAAGATCCACATTGCTGTGAGTTTCCAAATTGCTTGTTTTCTCATGAAGAAATCTCATAACCTCAAAATATTTGCATGTTGGAAGTGTCGAAGCAGCTGCCCCAGATTTAGACAATGCTCGTCTCCTATCAAGGCATTTTTAGAGAATCTTTAAGGTTCTTAAAAATTTTCTGAAGGTATGGAACTGAAAAAAGGGCAAGAAACAAATTTTGTTAGAGTTGACATAAAATACGAAATAACACATATAGTCAAGGAGCACAGTCAAACGAAATGGTGAGACGAACACCCTTACGCAGAAACGTCGAGAAGTTTTCCTGTCCACTTTAGCATGTTTAACATGTTACATCACAATAACCAAACAACACAAGTGAAATTCTCAAGTTTCTTGAAGTCCTCCATTAATTTAGAACACTTACCTTCTCGCTGGAACATTCGAGACAAAGATTTCCATGCATTAAGTTTCATGGTCCTATTTTTGTAGTTTATATTGCTTGTATCCCACAAGCAACTATAGTCTCGGAGAGCTTGCAAAAACATTTCCTTATCGAGCTCTCCAACATCTTGCACCACATTTTGATCAACAAAATGTTGCACTACTGAGATATTCCTCGGAGATGCAAGTATTTGAATCTCTGACGGAATATTTTCTACAGGATTTGTACCGTTCAGTTGGAATTCGTTTTCTCCACTGGTGGCAGCCATTTTGACTTTAGAGAAATGGTAACTAGTTTCACGGAATGAAATTTCATTGGTTCAATTTACGACGATCGTCAAGCGCTCGACGAAAAGTAGAAACCGTTTCTACTTTTCGTCGAGCGCTTGACGATTTAGTTGACGATTTTTATTTCCTACTGCGCATGTGGCGCAGCGAATTTTTAAGACGATCGTCATAAAAATCGTCTAGTGGAGATCCGCCTTAACGCTTATTCGCGATTTACATGGAAAGAGTCACTGTGGAATACCGCAGACCGCAATTAAGCGCAGTTTCGTATATGTGCATATCTCACCTATGATCTAACGCCGACCACACAATCGTTAATAAATTAAAGATGGCGGCTAATGGGAAAGAACCAAAAGCTAAAAGGAAACCATGCATGCACTGGTGCTAGGTCGTTTTAAGATGGCGAGTAATTTTATATTTTTATAATACAGTTTTTAATATCAACGTATGAAAATATTTACAGATAAATGTTGCAGTATAAATTTTCATGCAACCACCTTAAGTTATAAACTTATAATCCAGGCAGGAAAATATGTCGTTTTTCGACGATTGTGTAAAATATTATATAAAATATTATATTGTGTAAAATATTAGATTGTGTAAAATATTATATTGTGTAAAATACAATTCAAAGTAAAGGGCGGTTTGCTGGGTGGAAAACATTGAGTTCTATAATAACTGGAGCGGCTATCTTTACTGGGGCGAGGTCGCCAAAAAAATGGCGGCCAACGGACGTATTTCCGCTGAAATGATCGCTTTGCAGAAAAATAATATTCTCGACCTCCCCCTGGTGTCTATAGTAAATTATAAAGAATTTTTCAAAAACAAACACGATATCACAGAATATGGATATCGTTAGTTCCATATTCTGTGACGATTCTTTTTTGGCATTTCTTTTATAATGCCAACACTTCAATCGTTCAATTGTTGGATGTCGTAGTTTCCACAAAAAGGTACATATCGCTTCCCACAGGTGAGGTAGTTGTTTGTTTTGTTAGTCCGTCAACGATTGAAAAGCAATTATACATGCACTTGAAAAGCCATAAAATACATATTAAAGATCGTATTTTTTAAGACTGACTTGAACGCCAAATATACTGATGTTTTCCTGTTTTTGTCTATAAATTTCTGCATACTTTTCTGTCATTTGTTAATGCATGAAATCGTAAATTTACCTATCTATTTGCAAAATAGTTTCCCTAAAGCAAAAAGACCCTGCACACATTTTGCTCTGTGAAAAGTATCAAGAAGAAATGATCAGCCCCAACAGTACCCATGATTTGGAGCAGAGCTTGTTATGTTGTATTTGCTGACAACATGCAGGGAAGACCAAGAAGTAAAGATGACTGGAAGATGTTATTGATCAGGCAGAGTCTTAAAAAAATGATAATGCTGTAAAGATAATTGATTTATTGTCTGCCTTATCCAGAGTTATTTAATTTGATCATGGTCAAATTCTATGGATGGAGACAATGGATTCACTAATGATGCCTTGAATGCTTTGAAGTTGAAGTTCATGAACCAAAAAAAGATGGCAAGAAGGTTGTGTGTTTTTGATGCTTAATTAAATGTCAATTCACAACATATAAAATGGAAAGGCCATAAAGTTTGTGTCTATGTAAACATTTGTACTGAGATTGATGATGACTTGATGCAGATGTGAAGCATTAAACTGAATAAGCCATTGGGTTTTATATAACATAATGTTTAAATCATGGCATATCTTTATCAAAATATTTTAGTTGAGTGTTGTTTAAATGTTACTAATATCTAATGCACTATACTGAAGCATTAAAGATTCAGTGATGAAACCTTTAAATTTACTGTACTGTATATTTCTTATATATTTCTTATATTTCTTTAAGAAACAGTTTGAGCTTATTTACCTATTAGAGTACAGAATGGGGATTTATCATATGCATCATTGCTGCTTTTTTAAATAAATGTTTTCACTTTTCAAAGCTTTTCTACAAATATTTTGCTTCTTATTTCTTTTCATGAGATTGATGATATAGAGGTAATATAATCCAATAACTTTATAATTTCTAGAAAGCTGTTAAGCTTCTAGCATAAAAGTACACTATAGGTATTTAATTCATTTGGTTTTATTGCCTTGTTATGACATATCCATATGCATTTCATCATTCATGTATGAAGAAAACACCAAATGTGGATACTCAGAGAACAAAATGCACTACCAACTGCTTATGAAATTTATTATTGAAGTGAAAACTGTTTTAATCATTCAAATTGTGCACTTATATTGAAAATATAGGAAAAACAAAACAAAGTGAAAAATAAGGGTAGAAGTATTAAAACTAAAAATGAATTATAAACACCATTGGAAGCATAAGTGTTTTGATGATTATTTGCATTTTGCCCAATTTATATATCAATACAACAAAATCAAAATGTGCTACAACTTTACAAGTATTTGATGCAGTTGCACTTCAGAACATCACAAAAAGGTTACTTAAAGTAATTTCTATACAATATTGTTTGTTTTCATTTACCAAACCTATGCAGACTTGAGTCTTTTTGAAATTTAATATGAAACTCAATTACAGAAAATACGTAAATATCCAGAGATTTAATATTTACTTTTTTAAAGAAACAAGTAAAAAGAAGCAAAATAGCAATGATAAAAAATAAGCTAACTTCTCTCTCGTGAACCACTGTGGAGATGAACTATGATATACTTTTTTGTATAGACTAAAGAGTTTAATCGATCAAACAAGTTTGACGCTGGTCCAGACTGGAAAGTATGCAAAGTGCGCAAGCTAGATCAATTTTTTTTAGAAATTTTGCGCGGCGGATTTCGACTTTGCGCTGCGAAGCCATAAAATATTCGCGAGATGCCAGTTTTATTTTTTCCGTATCACACTCCATTTTTGATAGTTTGCAATTGCAAATAATTATGAAACATAACATAAAAGATGATACATGTGTATAGCTGTAGCTTACCTTAAGTTGGAGCTTGCAACTCTCCTTTTACAACGTGAGGATGTGTCATGTGTAATCACAAAAAAATGCCACTTTACCTTAGGTATTATGTAACGAGTCGAACGACCAACGTACCACGTATGTTTATCATTCATCTGTTTCATTGTTTCTTCACAGCGTATGATACGATAAAAGGTAGGCACCAAATAAATTTGATTTACTGACGTCGTCAAATACGTCGTTAAAAAAAAAACAAATCAATCAGGAACCATCTTTTGTATAATCAGCAGCCAGATTGTGGAGTAGAAGGTTTTTCAGTTAATAATTGTTTATAATCAGCAGGCAGATGGTGGACAAAAAAGGTTTTCAGTTAATAATTGTTTATAATCAGCAGCCAGATTGTGGAGTAGAAGGTTTTTCAGTTAATAATTATTTATTATCAGCAAGCAGATGGTGGACAAAAAAGGTTTTCAGTTAATAATTGTTTATTATCAGCAGCCAGATTGTGGAGTAGAAGGTTTTTCAGTTAATAGCTGTTTATAATCAGCAGGCAGATGGTGGACAAAAAAGGTTTTTCAGTTACTAATTGCTTATAATCAGCAGCCAGATAGTAGAGTGGAAGATTTTTCAGTTAATAATTGTTTATAATCAGCAGGCAGATGGTGGACAAAAAAGGTTTTCAGTTAATAATTGTTTATAATCAGCAGCCAGATTGTGGAGTAGAAGGTTTTTCAGTTAATAATTGTTTATAATCAGCAGGCAGATGGTGGACAAAAAGGTTTTCAGTTACTAATTGTTTATAATCAGCAGGCAGATGGTAAGCAGGGGAGGTTTTCAGTTGATAAATATTTATAATCTGCAGCCAGATGGTGGACAAAAAAGGGTTTTCAGTTAATAATTGTTTATAATCAGCAGGTAGATGGTAAGCAAGGGAGGTTTTCAGTTGATAAATATTTATAATCTGCAGCCAGATGGTGGACAAAAAAGGTTTTTCAATTAATTGTTTATAATCAGCAGGCAGATGGTGGACAAAAAAGGTTTTTCAGTTAATAATTGTTTATCATCAGCAGCCAGGTGTTAGACGAAAAAGGTTTTCAGTTAATTATTGTTTATAATCAGTAGCCAGGTGGTGGACAAAAAGGTTTTCAGTTAATCTTTGTTCATAATCTGTAGCCAGGTGGTGGACAAAAAGGTTTTCAGTTAATCTTTGTTTATAATCAGCAGCCAGGTGGTGGACAAAAAAGATTTTTCAGTTAATCTTTGTTTATAATCAGCAGCCAGATTGTGGACAGAAAAGGTTTTCAGTTAATAATTGTTTATAATCAGCAGGCAGATGGTAAGCAAGGGAGCTTTTCAATTGATAAACAATTACGATCTGCTGCCAGATTTGGATTGAAAACTTTTTGATTATAACTGCACGAAGCATACTGGTTGACGCTTGACTAAGGTTACAAGAGGAAAGGTAGCTTAGGGCGTGATGTTATGATGCGTTGCAAAACCTTGGACATCTCTCCTTCGTGTTTTGCCATGCTCGTCGGTCTCTAAAACAGGAATCATATGTCTGGACAAACCACGTTCCTTGTCCCCATTGATGTAAAGTTTTGCCATTTCGTTCAGTGCTGCGTCGCATTGAAGTACAGATGGTAAACTCAATCAACTTTAGCACGATTCATTAGCACTTTTATGCTTTGCCCACCATCCATTTCTTGCTTATCCACCACCCGGTAAAAAGATTCGGCAACAGCCTCAGTTCCGCATTTCGCATAAAATATGTCAAAGACGAGACAAAACTCTTGGCCGACAGCTGAATAAAATGAGGAATCGTTATATAAAGATTCAATAACGGCCTCTTCTTTAAAAAGAACGTCAATCATTTTACCATTGTTGAGCGTCACTTCGAAGACCTCAGAAAGGGTGAACTGCCTTGGTGTACCTTCTTGGAACCTAGTCACAAAGACTCCTTCCTCGAAAACCACATCCTGCAAGGAAAAAATTCCTTCGTCATC